TTTGAAAGTATACAAATCTTGAACTTATATAAGTAGCTTTAAATAAAATAAATCCAAGAGTAATATTTTTCCCTGTGCAGCCTATCCCTTTCCCAAAAAAGGGTATGCTTTTGCCAGTGGCAATCTAAAAGGGACTTCGATTGTGTCCAGACATTGGCATTGGTTTGGTTTCATGTTTCTTCTGGCCGTCTCTTCGACTCGCATTTGTGTCCAACAAAACTGGCCACAATGCGGTCATGAATATCGAGAAATGTTATTGGCCCAATCGAATGGACTGCAAATGTCACTGGGCTAAACGATTCCAAGTGTTTTAATTTCAGCTTTAATTGCCAGGCCAAAAAATAGCTGCAAGATATTCCCTGGGGCAATTTCTAATCACCTAATTGGCAAAAACTTTTGCTCTGTCGGAAAAGTTTTGGACTTTGACTCGTGAAAATTTTCAGCTCATCCCGAGATAAGGGAAAATACGAGTACAAGCGCTTTGGCTCTTTGGCCAGCCATCTATCTTCCGCATCTGGGAAATTATGACTTGAGCCGGGAGCCAAAAAGGCCAAAGGACTTGACCGGCAAAGTTCATTGTGCCACATTTCATTTGGCTAAAGTGCTTGTGGCCTTCGCAAATGATGCCCGTGAGCTATCAAAACGATTGCTTCATTTTTTCGATTGAATAGATGCATTGGGGATGCAGTCGGTCCAGTTTTAATACTTTTAGCTGCCCGGTTTGTTCAGTGGGGAATCCAACTTATGTACAGCCAAACTGGGGGAAAAAGCCAACGGAGTGGAACTAGGCAAACTAGTTGAATCCATCTGCCCGGCACACAATTCTCCAACTCTCCGAGGTGATTATTTTGCAATTGTTGTGCCAATTTTTAACGTAAATTGTTGCCATACACATACTCTGCGAACTGTACTGGCCAAGGCCAAAAATGCGAACGTATTTCTGGGCAGGAGGCATATTTTGATTTCATTATGCCGGCATTTTGTAGAATGTTTCCAGTCCAGGGCCCCGTTGCTATCCCCCATTATAATGGCCAGATGTAGACATTTATGTACATTATTATGCTTCTCCTTTTTGTATTTTTACGTTATGCTTGCTTACACCGGGCCACCTTCCATTCCCTCCATACTCCATGGGGGCTTGTTAAATGATTGACCTAGGCTCCTCATTTACCTCCTCCTGTCGCTGCTATTATTGTTATGGCAATCGCTTTGATTGCACGTTAGCAGCATATAATTATATCCTGACAGGGGGACTATAATTTCAGCCAGAACGAAGGGTCTCTAAGTATAAATGGCATTTGATGGAACTAGGTTGGAGTTTCAATATTGTACTGTGGGTATATTGTCTATTATAGTACAAATAGATACCCACAGTAGTCCATTGGTGGTAACTTAAAGGCATATTGCGAATTATAAAATGTCAATCATTTAAATTCATATATGGAATTGCACTCAATTAAATATGAATACCACAAAATATATAAAACCATTTGAGAACCCTATCTTAACCCTGATAATACAACATAATATATAGAAATATTAAAAATTGCATCAAAATAATTCATTTTATAAATGGTTTTCAATGTACCCTTTCGCTTTGTTCAAAATATTTGAATGAAGTTTAAATTTCAGGGGCAAATAATTTAAGAACCCACCAACTGGTTGCATTTCGAGGCATAAATTCATCATTTAATTCACCGAATTTCGCTTTTGCCAGTGTTTCTTGGCTTTTAAGTAGTGGCATTCTTTTGTTTACAGTGAAAGCACCCCTCGGACTTTCTTTCATGCGCTTGACAAACTGCGTAAAAATCTCCGCTGACCGGAAACTAATTTGAAAATGTTATTCATTATGCACAGCACTTGCCGCTTCAGCCCACTCGAAGTTGCACTCGGCTGACGCTGTTCTGCTGTTATTTCGCGCACTTCCTGCCGCACTTTCCAGTTGTGGCAGTTGCACTTTCTACGCACGGTCTGGGAAATCCCTGGGAGACTGGCTTGGAGTGGGTCTTCTGTGTGTGGAACCCAAAGTTGAGGAAAAGTTTCGGTTTTCGCTTTCGCCTGGCGCTGCGAAAAAGTACGCGAGCCACTAATGCCCAGATTTGAGTTGCGGCTATGAGAGTTTTAGCCAGATTGTTGCCTTAAAGCTGAATTAGCGCAGCTCTTGCGGCTGCCAAAGTTGGCTTAACCCATTTTGGTCAGGAGAGTTTAAAATCACATTAAATTGGAACGCCTTTTTTTGGGGTAAATTGCAGAAATTCTATTTTGGAATAAAGAGGAATTAATGTAAGCAATATGTGTGCTTACACAATCCACTCTAACTTTATAGAAAACAATTTTTAGTGCTTAAAGCTAAGTAAAAACCGTCAAAAATTGTGTTTATTATTCTAGAATTATAAAATGATGTATAAAATTAGTTACTTTGCTAAATATTTCGAGAATGAAAAATTTTAAATGTTTTGTCACAAGGAATCAATTTAATTACATTTTTGGAAAGGAAATATAATTGTTTAGGTAATTTCAATATTAGGCACTGAGGTGTTAAATGGTTTAAAAGAAAGCCAGGAGCCTTGTCCCGGGTGGCAAATTCGTAATTGATAGCATCTTGAGCACAGCTCGGCTGCTCGAGGAGATAAAAATTGTAAGTCGACAAATTAAGCTGGGGCCCAGAGCAAAAGACGCCGCCGTCAAACGGATGTGGATGTGGATGCTAAAAATGCAGCGCCAGCCAAAATGCCACCGGCCTTGGCCACAGGAGCAATATCAAAGGGAAAAAGGATTGCCGTGGAAACAATGACAGGCCAGGGAAGAAGCCAAAGGAAGCAGCCAAGTTTTAGAGACAAAAGTCTGGCGAATGGTTTAAGGCAGGGCAAAAGGAAGCGAGATAAAAATGGCGTGCGTCGCATGGAACATGAACCAAAATGGCACCCACAAGAGCTTCCGGCAGACGTCCGCTTTAACAACTCTTTTACCCACACTCACGCACTTCTGTGTGTGTGTGTATATATATATGTATATATATATATATATCGCTATGTAGGAACACATCTGAGAACGCCCTGCACATTAGCAACGTTTCCAGGGGTTTTTTTTGTGAGCGGGCGTGGGAGGCAGCGCTTTTGTCATAAACCCATTAAAAGTCAAGGACAAAATTCATGTTGCATGTTTACTCATGCACACTCACACACCCCACAAGCCCACACAGACACACACACACACACACACCCGCACCACCCACTCACACATAGATCACAGAGCGGAAAGAACAAGCAGTGCCAACAAAGTAGCTTTAATTAATGAAACTCATTAAAGGGATGCCAAGCAGGCAGTGGCACAAAGCAGAGTGGCTCTGTGGCTGAGCAGCTCGGAAAAAGGCCATAGGCTTGGCCAAAAACGACCAAAGGACGAGGGGACCGAGGACCAAGGACCAAGGACCAAGAACCAGCAGCAGATCCAAAACCAGAACCAGAACCAGACTGAATTGCCCGCTTTGACCTGCCACAATGCGTTGGGCCATACATTAGCCACGTTGGCGCTCACTTGGCCTCCGCCATTGAATAAAATAATCAGCAGCCGCCTTATCCAGCTGCCGCTGTTCATCCTTTTGACTTGGCCAAGGCAAACGATGTTGGCCAAAAACGAGAAGTACACGACCTGCCGAAAGGACAAAACACGAGAGAATCAGAAGAGAGAGTTTGAGAACAGAGAGAGAAATAGCTTTGCTGAGAGTCGTTCTGGGGAAATGATGGTGAAAGTTTATCCGCACTCCGAAAAGTTTCCTTTAGAGGGGATGAAATAAATGAAGAAAGAAAACAAGCAGTTTACAAGGAGGCAAGGATACGTAAGCAAGCAGATTGGATTAGCAGTAAATAAGCAGAAAACCATCAAGGAAAATCAAACTGCTTGTAAGGATTTGGGGGCTAATTCAAACAATGTTAGCAATCAGTATTTTTGAACTCAGTGCTAGTTGGAGTATTTTTAAACGATTTAAAAAAGTTTACGAATGCAAAATAATATATAGAAACTAAACTAAATAGTTCCATCTACTGTTTGTATTTTTTGAAAATCGATCCCTGATCATGACCAATATAATAAAATAGTTTGGAAATATATTTATATGATCACTTATTTTAATTACAAGGTCTAAACTTGAGTGGCTAAATAATCTAAAGAAATTGTTTCAATTTTTCAAATTTCTAGAAATTTTATTTTATTTCAGTAATATTTGTATTGTCCTTTTGCTATAGTTTTGGACCAGTCAGCTTTAGTCAGTTAAACCGTTAAAGCTCGTCCTAATAGTTATTGTTAGTAACAAAATTCCGTGTAAGCGAAAAATGTTGAAAAATTCCACAAAATACTATAAAAATAAAACTGTTATATTTCGTAAAAGTCTAAATTACTCCGGTAGAGGGCTGATTTATACCTATTTGGAAAAACCCTCCCCCAACCCACACCCAAGGTCATGCGCTCTTGCTCTCATAGCACACCTGTATGAGTTGGCCTCTCACCTGCCACTCGCTCTCTCCGCAGGACTTGCGCACCCCGAGGGACACTCTCCTCTCTCCGCGGAAAGGACTAGGACAACTCACAGCGGGCAGCGCTGTCTGCAGAGAAAGCAACAGCTTTGTGGGTGGGACGCCCAACCACCCCCACGGCAACCACCACCCATCACCCACGCGCAGATCCACATCCTGGCCCATCCTGTGGCAGGCCCGGCACCTGCTGCATCTCAAAACAAAGCCCATTTATTTAGAATGGCAGCGCAAAGCGGAAGCGCCAAGAAAATAGACAACACAACAACACAGCGGACAGCACAACGGGGTGGGTGGAAGTGGGTGTGGGTGTGGGTGTGGGTGGGGGTGGGTGGTTGCCGGGCTCCCGGTTGCCACAACAACTGACAAGGACCACAACAACGTCAAAAACTACGTCGGAAAATTAACAAATTTTTAAACGGGAAATAAATTCAGAAACAGTATATTAATCTAAAGGATACTCTTCAGAAAATGCAGCTTAAATACCTGCGGACATTGTTGGAGGGTCAGGTAAGCAATATGCGAATGGACAAACCGAAATTTTTAGATTGCTTATCTCGAAATTTCCAATATTGAATTTTCATGAATATCAACTAAATGAGTGTCTTTTCCATTATTCGTATTTCATTGCAATAATTATGAAATTCGTTTTTAGACTATTTTCTGGAACTGTCTAGTTTAAAGTGTTTCAACTGTATTCAAAATAGGAAAATCAATTGATTATTACGGATTACATTATTTATATTTTATTACTACATTATTTATATTGTATTGTAGTAATTGAGGATTTCGTTATGAACTACTTTCTGGAACTCTCTAGTTTAAAGAGTTTCAAGTATATTAAAAATAAGAAAATCAAACCAATTTAAAAATATTGTTTTCTTTCAGAAGCAAAACCAGTGTTGTTTCCATTATTTATATTTTATTGTAATTATTGTGAAATCGGTTTATAAACTACTTCATGAAAGTATATTCTTTACAGAGTTTTGTCTGTATTAAAAATAAGAAAATCTAATAAATGTAAACAATTATATTCTTTCAGGAGCAAATCCAGCGAATAGCAGGACTAGCCTGGTCTCCCAATCAGCTCAAATTGGCCATAGCCACTGCGGATCGTCACATTCTCCTTTACGATGATGCGGGTGAAAGACGTGATAAGTTCAGCACCAAGCCAGCAAATCCCTCAAACGGAAAGAACTCCTATGTGATCCGCGGATTGGCCTTTAGTCCGGACTCCACCAAACTGGCGGTGGGTCAGAGCGATAGCATCGTCTATGTATACAAACTGGGGGAATCCTGGAACGACAAGAAGGTGATATGTAACAAGTTCCCGCAGGCCAGCGCAGTGACTGCTCTGATTTGGCTCACTTCGGGCTCTATTATTGCAGGTAAATCATGTTAATAAATATTATAAAATACTTTTATTAATTAATAATCCTTTTAAGGACTCGAGGATGGGAAGGTTCGTGCCCTGCACAGCAAGAACAACAAGTCGCAAAGCCTTTATGGCGGCGACAGCATTTGCATTTCGCTGGCGGCGAATACCAAGGGAACTGGTTTTCTGAGTGGTCACAACGATGGCACCATCATACGCTACTTTATGACGGATGAGGCCACGGAACCACTTGGTAGAGTGGTGCAGCATCCAGTTCCTCCTTTTGCTTTGGCTTGGCCACAAGGTGGATTTTGCGCCGGTGGCTGTGATCAGCGGATTGTATTCTACGATAGCATGGTATGTCTTGGAATATACTGATCTCTTGGGGATTTCTAAAGCCTTAAACCTTCTTTTCAGGGTCGTCAGCTGCGTACCTTTGACCATTCCCGAACGGAGGGCGAGCGGGAGTTCACGGTGGCCGCCTGTAGTCCAAATGGCCAGGCGGTGGCCTTCGGCAGCTTCGACAGGATTCGCATCTTCGCCTGGAGTCCTCGGCAAGGAGCTTGGAGCGAGAGTGCCAGCAAGGAGGTGGCTTGTTTGTACACCCTGAGCAGCCTCCTCTGGCGCAGGGATGGAGCCCGACTCGCCCTGGGATCCGTGAGTGGGGCAGTGCTCCTCTTCGAGTCCGTTCTGCGACGCACCGTGTGGCAGGACAAGTTTGAGCTGATCTTCGTGGCACCCAGTCAACTTCTAGTGAGGTCCTTGACCGAACCCTCGCAACAGCTCACCATTGAATCGCAGCTGGGTCTGGAGATCGATGACGTTAGGATCATGGGCAGGGACAATTACCTGGTGGCTCGCACCGAGGAGTCCCTGATCCTTTGTGACCTGACCCGCAATCTGAGCAGCGAGGTTCCCTGGACCGCCTCCGGTCACCACGAGCGGTTCTACTTCGAGAACCCCACTGTTTGCCTGGTCTTCAATGTGGGTGAACTAAGCTTAGTGGAATACGGGGATAACTCCATCTTGGGATCGGTTCGCACTGAATTCGTGAATCCCCATGTGATCTCAGTGCGTCTAAATGAGCGAGGAAATGCGAGGGAAAACAAAAAGCTGGCATTTCTCCTGGACGCCAAGACCATTTGCGTGGTGGATCTGGTGAGTCGGATGACCAGTGGTCAGATCAACCACGAGACCAAGATCGATTGGCTGGAGCTGAGTGAGACTGCCCATAAGCTACTCTTCCGAGACAAGAAGCTGCGTTTGATTTTGGTGGATAACTACACGGGTAAGAAGCAGACCCTGCTCAGCAATATATCCTTCGTGCAGTGGGTTCCCCAGAGCGATGTGGTGGTGGCCCAGAGCAACTCCAACCTGGCCATTTGGTACAACATCGATCTGCCCGAGCACGTCACCATGCAAAGTGTTCGGGGTGAAGCCATCGAGGTGCTCCGCGAGAATGTAAGTTATGAATTGGATATAGATGAATATAATATATATAATGTAAATTTAATAATCCTTATAGGGTCGGACTGTAGTCAGATCTCAGGACGGACCAAGTGAACACAATTACCAACTAGACGAAGGCCTCGTGGAATTTGGAACCGCGGTGAATGACAGTGATTTCGGGAGAGCCGTCCACTTTTTGGAAACCCTGGGAGACAAACCCGCCGCCAAGGCCATGTGGCATAATCTGGCACTGATTTCCCTGGAAGATGGAAACCTCCGAGTGGCTCAGAGGTGCTATGCTGCCCTGGGTAATGTATCCAAGGCGTACTATCTGGCCGAGATGATCCAGCAGGCGGATGAGTTCGAGGAGTCCTCTGGTTCCCCCGGCATTCTCTGTCCCGAAGTCCGTGCCAAGATGGCTCTGCTGGGATCAGATTTGCGCACTGCGGAGAGGATCTATCTGGAGCAGGGAGATATCGAGGCAGCTCTGAAGATGTACCAACAACTGGGAATGTGGGATGAGGCAGTGGCTCTGGCGGAGAGGCGTGGCTACAACAGAATCTCTGAGCTGAAGCAGCAGCATATGGACTACCTACTGAGTAGCGAACAGCAGGAGAAGGCTGGTCAGGTTCTGGAGGAGCAGGGGGATCTCCAGCAGGCCATGTCATTGTTTCTGAAGGCCAACAAACCGGCGAGGGCAGCCCGATTGGCCCTGAAGACACCCCACATCCTGCAGGATGAGCAGGTGATGCTGCAGGTGACAGAAGGACTCGTTCGCTCGGAGCTCTATGAATTAGCAGGGGATATAGCCCATCGTTTATCCCGTCCAGAAGCAGCCTTAGCTCTCTACAGAAAAGGAGGAGCCTATGCCAGAGCCTTGGAACTGGGACGTGTGGTGGCCCCGCAGGAGGTGACTGCCCTGGAGGAGGAGTGGGGCGACTGGCTGGTGGGCCGCAAGCAACTGGATGCTTCCATCAATCACTACATCGAAGCGGGAGCCACCCAAAAAGCCCTGGAAGCTGCAGTGGGTGCCAAGCAATGGCGCAAGGCGGTGCAAATAGCCAAGGTCCTGGACGAACCGGAGCTCATCCAGCGCTATGCCGTGGATCTGGCCAAGCATCTGGCCTTCGCAGGAGATCTGGATGGAGCGGAGGACATGCTGGTGCGGGCCAGTCTGCACAAGGATGCCATAGAGCTACTGAATCGCCATGGCAAATGGGAGCGGGCCTATGTAATTGGGGAGAAGTATCTGAAGGCGGATCAACTCCGGGAACTCTTCGTTCAACTGGCAGGCACTCTGGAGGAGCAGGGAAAGTTCAGAGATGCGGAGAAGGTCCTCATAGCGGTGAATGAACCCGACCTGGCCATAGCCATGTACAAGCGGCGGGAACTCTACGACTCCATGATCCGTCTGGTGGAGCGGCATCACAAGGATCTGCTGGACAGCACCCATCTGCATTTGGCACGGCAACTGGAGTCCCGTGGCAAACTCAAGAACGCCGAGATGCACTTCGTGGCCTCCGGGGACTGGAAGTCCGCCGTGCACATGTACTGCTCCTCGGGTCGCTGGGAGGATGGCTACAGGGTGGCCAAGCAGAAGGGCACCGAGGGAGCCAGCCAGCAGGTGGCCTACATGTGGGCCAAGTCCATGCCCACCGAGAGTGCGGTGCGATTGCTGAGTAAGCTGGGACTTCTGGACACGGCAGTGGGATTTGCCTGCGACTCCGGGCAATTCGAGTTCGCCATGGAACTGTGCCGGTTCGCGGGCAGACCCACGGATGAGGTGCACCTGAAGATCGCCATGTCGCTGGAGGATGAGGGGAAGTTCGAGGCCGCCGAGGCGGAGTTCCTCAAAGCCAACAAACCCAAGGAGGCCATACTGATGTACCAGCATGCAGGCGATTGGCAAGCGGCCCTGAATGTGGCCGAATCCCATCTGCCCGATGCAGTGGGTGAAGTTCTCATTGGACAGGCTGCAGCCGCTTTGGAAACCCGTAACTACAAGGACTATGAAGCTCTGCTTCTGAGGGCCCGTCGTCCGGACTTGATTGTGGAGCACTACAAACAGGAATCCCTCTACGAAGACGCCCTGCGCATCGCCGAGGAGCACTACCCGGCGGCCTTGAATGACCTGAGGCGTCTCCAGGCGCAGCTCCAACGTGGTCAAGCCCAAGCTCAGGCTGGCGAAGATGCAGCCTCGATCTCCCGTGCCTACCTGCAAAGAGCAGCCGAGTTTGCCAAGAAGGAGCAATTCCGCAAGGCAGCCGAGTGCCTCATGCAAATAGACTCCTCCAATGCCGAGGATGCTGCCACTTTGGAGAGGGCTCTACTACGGGCCGCCGAGATCTGCAATCAGTTTCTGGAGGGACAGGATGCCCAGGAGTTGGCTACATCACTGGGACCGCGACTACTGGCCATCAAGCAGATAGGACCTGCCGCCCAACTCTATTTGGCTGCCGATATGCCCAAGCAGGCGGTGGATGTGTTCATCAAGACGGAACAGTGGAGCAAGGCACGTCGGCTGGCCAAGGAGATTGATGCGGATCTGCAGCTGCTGGCCTATGTGGAGCAGCAGCAGAAGGCCAGCCTGAGGCACGAGGGCAACATCGAGCAACTGGCGGACATAGACATAGTGTCCGCTCTGGATCTCCTCGCGGAACAGGGTCAGTGGCAGCGGTGCCTGGAGAAGGCCAAGCAGCTGAATCCCGCCCTGCTGCAGAAGTACGTGGCCGTCTATGCAGCCCAGCTCATCCGCGAGGGCAACTGCACCACTGCCCTGGGACTCTACTTGAGCTATGGAGCCCCGCCGATCGAGGCCCACTTCAATATCTACACCAGGATCGCCTTGGATTGCCTGGCTTTGAGGGAGGAGCAAACGGAGGGTGGATCCCTGTGGCGCCAGTTGAGGGACTTCCTGTCCCGCCTTCTGCAATCCCTTAAATCCTCTCCAGAGCTGGCGCAATCCCCCTTTACATCCAGCATGGAGCAGTTCCTCCTAATAACCCATTACTACGCCACCAGAGCAGCCTGCAAGGAGGTGCAGTCCCTCCAACCAGTGGCCCTGCGTTTATCCTTGGCTCTACTTCGCCACACCGATCTCCTGCCGGTGGACAAAGGTTTCTACGAAGCTGGGATGGATCTCCGCCAGGCAGGTCGGGAATCCGAGGCCTTTGTGATGCTCAATCATTATCTGGACGTGTGCGAGGCCATCGAGGAGGGTTCCGGCCAGTTGGTGGACCATTCCGATCTGGCTAGCACCGATTTTCCCAGCTCCGTGCCTTTGCCGGAGGACATCCACCTGAAGAACGATCCCAATCTGCACGAGGAGGTGCGTGAATGGGTGCTGGCGGTGAGCATGGATCAGCAGGTGGACCAGCAGCTGCCCACCGATGATCGCGGTCTGTACGAATCCAGTTTGGGACCGGATGACTTGCCCTGCATGTTGAGTGGGTTTCCCGTGAGAGGTCGTCAGCCGGTGACCTTTCAGGGATCGAGCAACCAGGTGAACCGCGATGTGTGGAGCAAGTTCTCGGTGGCCGTGAAGATGTCCCCGGGCAGTGGCATTGCTGACATCATTGGCTTCACCGAAAAGTGGCAGGGAGCGGCCAACTACGTCATGCACTAAGCACCCAACGGGATAAATCCACGAATGTAAGTTGCTTGCAATTAGAAGCTGTATTTAAAACGTCATTAGTGGGTGTGTTTGGATTACAATCATTGGATTTGCGGGCGAGGGTGCCAGTAAGGGGGCAATTGCAAATATACGTATAAACTCTAGGCTTGACTTTAAGTGGCTCCTTACGGCTCAGGATCAGTATCGGGATCCGGATCAGGATCTTAGTTAATGCAGCGCGTTGAAGAGATCGCCGGCGGAGGGCAGGGGTGCCAGTCCGCCGGTCACATCAGGCAATTGAGTCAGGTCGGGCAGGTTGGAGAGGTGGTCGTGGATCTCCTTCTGCAGGCCCAACATCTTGGCCAGCTTCTTCTTGTGTTCCTGCAAAGACACAGAGAATTAGGCGATGATGTTTCAACAAGAGTAATAAAAGGGGGACTACATCAAATTCGATAAAGGTTTTTTTTAATTTAAATTAATTACAAATATACAATAGGCAGTAGCTTGCACTTTGGGAAGGTCATACGCTAGGGAACTCGCCAACTTTGAATACGAAGTTGTATTCAGTTTAAATAGGAGTTCCTTTACGCTTGATAAAGTGCTCAAAAGAATATCGCGGGAAAACCATACAATAACTACATTTAATCAGTTCTGCGATGGACAAATTTCGGTATTTTTAAAGAGGTTGCTTATCTAACAAGTCGAAAAAGCATGCAGGGTTTAAAACTTGACGGGGAACGTACATCGAGACGTAGCTCAGCCTGGGAGAGAAGTTCCTTTTGCTCCACTTGAAAATCCCGTAGCATGGTGGCCAACTTGGTGCGGTCTTCCATTTCCGCCGCCAGTCGAGCATTGTAATCATTGAGCAAATCCACAGCTTCGTTGACCTGAAAAGGCGATTTCGATTTGTAATTATCAATTAAATATACAATATAGAGACAAATTTGAGCCCTTCGGTTTCGGGAAACTCTTTTGAAGTGAAAATAAGAACAAGGCTAAACAGTTGAAGTCAAACGAGTAGCACAGAGTTTTACATAATCGGTGTAAATAAAAATAGCATTGCAACGACATGAGTTTAGGTAAGAGCTCCCAACTTTTGGAAGACAATTCATGTATAAATCATTAGTACTCGTTCTTAAGTGCTCTTATTTAGACTGCATCTATGTAGTCTCAGTTCTGGGTCCCACCTGCACGGCCAGAGCCTTGGCCTTGTCCTTGTCCTCCAGCTTGCTGATGCAGCTAATCTCGGATATTTCCTGCGGCAGCTTGGCGATCCGTTCGCGCACCACCGCATCGCTGGAGGCGGAGTTCTCGATGTTCGTGAGAGCCTTGATCAGCTCCTCGGGTTCTGGGGGTTCCCCTAGAGGCAAGTATGGCGGTGTATGGCCGTTTTCCGGCTCGACAACAACGACCTCCTCGGGCGGAGGAGCATTATTGGCGCTACTGCTGCTGCTCGGGGCATGTGGCCGCGAACGCTTCGACTTGGAGTGGCGATCCTCGTGCTTGCGCTTCTCGCGGCGTTCGGATTTCTCCTTGCTGCCACTGCTGCTGCTGCTGGCGTGCTCCTTTTCCCGCTCCGGCTTTTCTGGCTTTTCCGGTTTTTCACTGCCTCCATTGGACTTGCCATTGGTGCTGCTGCTGCCACCCGTTTCCCGGTGCAGTCGTGACCTCCATTCCGCAATGGCCTTGGGATCGTATACTCCGCGCTCCAGCCAGATGTTCAGGATCCTGCCCAGGCTGCCCAGGAGCTTATCCGAGCCGCACTTCTCGCCGATGTGGGCGAAGACCTTGCCCAGCACATGGTTGAACTCCTTGCCATATTCCGGACCCTTTTTCTTGCTGTTCTGGATCACATCGTTGGCCAGGTACATGAAGGTCAGCTTCTTGGGCTCCGGAACTGCAGAAAGGGGGATGCGATTAGCCAGGGGAACACCCAGGAGGTCCACAGGAATACCCACCGTTCTCCAGTTCCCGCTGCCAGGTCTTTACGATCGCCGCACTGTGTTTGCGGTGGTGAATCAGCCACAAGGATAAGGTCTGGATGCTCTGCTGGCTGCTGTTCAGCTCGCCCAGTTTCTTGAGGAGCGCCGTCTCCGTGAAGGCCGACATGGCTGCTCTGCGTTTTCACCGCTTTTCCGGCGATTTTCTATTAAGGCAGTCAGAAAACCTCAAAAAATTTTCCGATTCGAGAAAATAAACAGCTTGGACTCAGTGTGGTCGAAGCGCTTGTCGCCGAGAATACCAAATATTTAAACCATAACGGTTGGTATCTCTAAAAATCTTACAAATAGTCACATTTGTGAAGGCGCCAAATTAGATTTATATTTATCGTTGTTTTTCATGTGTAAATTGAATGGGTGCATTTCTTTGCCGTTAATAAATACCATTGCCCGCTCTGTTTAATGTGAAAAACGCCTTAAAACTCTAGATAACTATTGTTTTCCAATAAAATAGTCACTTTTCATTTTTGAAATGTAGAGCTGCCAGATCGCTTAAAAATACTGCTCACATAAACCAAACCAGGGCTGACTAGGCTTAGCTTCCAACTTAATCCACCAGAGGGAGCCACTGTTAAAGCGCCAGAAATTCAAATTTGAATTCAAATTTATAGGGAAACTAAAAAGGAAACTACATGAATTATAATGATTTAATAGTAACAAAATACAAAGTTTAAATCAATCTGTCTTGAAAAATGTCACCCAGCACAGCTGTGTCATCGATCAAGCGCCAGCGCCGTCAAACACTTTTCACACCGATAACGAACGCCCCACTCCACACTTCACACTTTATACCTCATACTCAACTCTCAGCACTCAACACTCAGCCATCAACAATCCGAAAGCGAGCGATTTGGCGGCAGGTGTGTGCCCTCAGTTGGTCGCAGCAATTCGTTGGCATCGGTCGTGTTTGTGGATCCCCGATACAGAGTGCCGATATCACTTACTATACCTCACTCGCACGGAATCGAATCGCGGCGAACGCTTATCGCGGCAAAAGAGTAATTTGTGATACCTGTCCGCCGTGTATTGGCTTGTTGGAGCGCTACGCGCTTAAGTGGTGTTAATTTTTTATTAATTATTATCGTATTTATTACCCAACGAAAGTGAAGTGCGAAATCGCTCGGCCTCAAGTGCCCGGCCATACGTGCAAAGCCCGTAAATAAATTACACAGCCATATAGCCGTGATCCTTCTTCCCCTTTTGCAACCCACTCATCACTGATAATGCAAGCGGACTCCGCCTGATCGATTTGGAGTACGAGTGCGAGTGCTGGTGAGTGTGATTTACAGACCATTAGCACACTATCAACAGCACATTAGACAAATTGCTAAATTAGCTGCTGTTTTTTCGCAGCCGTACAAATAGCACTGCTCGAATCTCGAATCCCGAAATCCGAAATTCCTCACACCCTTCCTCGTTTGTACTTTTTTGTGGCTCCGATAAGCGACGCCCGTCAATTGACTGATTCCCTGCCTAGTGGGGATTTTGTTGCTGGCTAATTGTTTGATCTGATAATAGGTGATACGATTGTCACCAGACAGCCTCTGATTGTGGATAGCTGCCACCGAAAATGATCCCGCTGGAAACTGTGTGAATCCACTCCCAACCGATTTGACCCGCCCCCCAAAATGGACTCCTACTTCGACTCGGCCATCGAGTACAACCGCACCAATCCCATCAGCTTGGCCAGGAGCAGCGAGCAGGCCCAAACCGTTCAGAACGAGAAGAACTGGGAATGGTCGTACCTGGTGGTGAGTGCATCATTTCTTTTGGGTGGGTCCAACTCTTTAGCCCATGGAAATAGTAGCGGTGGAAAGTTTCGTTCGGGCAACACTTTATCTTTATGTGCAATAACACAATCTTTATAAGTTGACACTCAAATCTCAATTAACCATATTGCAACCGAATGCAAAATTCCTTTAAATTGCAGATCATATAATACTGTAATGGGCATATTGTTATTTATTACATTTATCTTGCCAGGTCTTGTAGTAATTAAACAACCTGTAATAAAAAATTGTAATTCTTGTTTCTGTTGTGACAAAACAATTTGGGAAAAAATACTATCCACATTGATTGACTCCCAAAGACTTAAACAAGTATTGATTGTATTACTGACGGTTTTTTTTTAACGTCCAGCCGATAAGAAATTCTCAAAAGGCCCATTCGCTCATACTCCTATTAAGGTTAATGATGACAACTATATTAGCAAAGTACTAAGGCATTATAAGTGCGACGTTAGCAATAAACTTAATCTTAGTCTGAGAGAAGGGCATTAAATGTATCTATATTGTTTTCGTTTTAAGAAAACTATTTAATTCTTTTAAGGCTGTTTATTTCGTTTCCTAGAAAATACTTCTATGATGAAGATTTCTTACAAGAAAAGGCGTAAAAAAATAAAACCTTTATTAGTTTTGTCCGGTTAAAGTATTTCACGTGCAATCAGCTTAATCCTCAGATAAATAAACTTAATCTTTTTAAAAGAGAAGGGCATTAAATATATCAATAAAGTGGGTAAAAAAGGGTTCTTTCCCGTCGTTGTTCATCACAATGCTTACTTTTCGACGCCAAGAATTTTTGCTTTAGGAAATATACTTTTATGTTCCCCCAACTCCCCTGTAATAACCTAAATCCCCCAGAAAAAATGTCGCAACCTGGAGCTGGAGGAGTCGTACGACCTGTACATGCGTCGATTGCGAGTGGGCTACCTCTCCCTGTTCATCTTCATCCACGTGGCCGTCACCCTGATCCACACACTGCTCCTACTGACGGCGCCGGAGATCAAGTACGTGTACGTGGACATGGTGGCCTACATGTGCTCCGGACTGGTCATCTGGTTGGTGCTCTCCGTGAACTTCCGCAGCGAGCTGGTGAGCAAGCACGGATGGGTGGTCTATGCCACATCTTGGCTGGCGGTGTGTGTGATGGTGCTGATGGACATCGGCCTGAATGTGTACCATGCCACCAGCCACAACGACATCCTGAATCCGATCTACGATGCGTACACGCTGTACGCCATTTACATGTTCATGCCGGTGCCGTATCTGCTGCAACCCTTTGTCCTGGGCGCAGCAGTTACCTTCTGCTACATCGTGAACTATAGTTTTGTGATCACCGCCAAGGACGACAATCAGATGCACAGCATCCTGAACGAGGCCATCTACCTGAGCTGTGTCAATCTCCTGGGCATTTTCTTTCGCCTCATGAGGGACATAGCGCTGCGTACCACCTTTCTGGATCGCAGGCAGTATGTGGAGGAGAACCTGCTGCTGCGGTATGCCAGGGATCAGGAGAGGAGCCTGCTGCTGAGCATCCTGCCCGCCCAGATCGCAGATCGCCTGCAGGAGGATGTGAAGAACCGCATCGAGCGGTCCAAGCAGCAGCACCAGCAGCAATCGCAAGTGGATCTGCGCAGGAGTGCGGACAGCCAGACGCTCAAGCGATGGCGACAACCGGATCATGGGTGAGTTTGGATCACAGAGTGTTTATATATAATCTATCCAGCTATATAATCTATCCGTCTATATAATCTATCCATCTATATAAGCTATCAATCTATGTAATCTATCCATCTACCCATCTATATAATGTATTCATCTATATAATCTATCCATCACTATAATTTTTCCATCTATATAATCTTCCATCTATATAATTTATCCATCTGTGTAATCTTTCCATCTATATAACCTGTCCATCTATATAATCTATCCATCTACTTAATCTATCTATCTATATAATCTATTCATGTATATAATCTATCCGTCTATAGTATCTATCAATCTAAATAATCTATCCATCTATATAATCCATCCATCTATACAATCTATTCATGTATATAATCTATCCATCTATCCAAGTATATAATCTATTCATCTTTATAATCTATCCATCTTTATAATCTATCCATTTATATAATCATGAATACAGCACCCTCTTTATTGAACCGCACGAGGATGTGACAGTGCTCTATGCAGACGTGGTCAACTACACCCACTTGACAACCACTCTGGATGTGAAGAAGCTGGTGGAGGCACTGCACGATCTCTTCGTGCGCTTCGACATCGCCAGCGAGGAGTACAATGTTCTCAGGATTAAGTTCCTGGGGGATTGTTACTACTGCGTGGCTGGACTGGCCAATCCAAATCCGGATCATGCCAAGTGCTGTGTCGATCTGGGACTGCGAATGATCAAGGACATTCGCGATGTGAGGTGAGTACATTTACAAATCATTAAACTCATTAGCCAAGTTGTGATTAGTCACTACTGATTGTCCGCATTTTATTTTGCCGGATGAACGCTGTGATTATTGATAACGATTAGAGAGGCCTTTAATCAAATCTAACATAATGAAATTAAAGGAATTTCAAGTGTGTGTATCAGAGAAATAAGGGCGTGACATGAAAATGCTTAAATCAGATTTTCTACTTTCTTGTTTTGCATTTAACCATTTTAAAAGAAATTTCATTTTGCTTAAAAAAGTGAAGTCATAACTATTACTCGTACTTTATCTTTGATAAGACATATGAATGGAACTGAATACTTTATTGCTATGCCAAAGGTAAGCATTCAATTTATACCTATAATTATTCTGGGAATTTTAAGTTAGCAAAGGCCATGATTAAAAATTGTTTTAACAGGGAAAATGTTATTAACTCATTCAATATTTCCTTAGGGAGAAGCGACATCTGAACATCGACATGCGAATTGGTGTCCATTCCGGCGATGTCCTTTCGGGCGTGATTGGAGCTGCCAAGTGGCAGTTCGACATCTGGTCGAAGGACGTGGACATTGCTAATAGACTGGAGGCCACAGGAGCCACCGGACGAGTGCATGTGAGCCAGAAGACTTTGTCCCTGCTGGATGGCGAGTACTTCTACGAGGATGGCACCGAAAAGGCTCGAGAGGATCCGGTGCTGCAGAAGCACGGCATTCGCACCTTCCTGATCAAGACACTGCGCGTGAGTATTCCCCGGTCAGCCACTGTGATCCCCGCCAGCTTTATGACATCGAACCGAAAGTTGTAGGCCCCCATGCACGACCCACGTCGCAGGATGAGGGAGCAGCAGGCCAAGAAGCTGAGCGAGGCCAGCAAGGCCAACTTCATGCACAACTCCACGCTCCATCAGTACAACCAGGTGCGCAACCAGGCCAAGCTGGAGATGTGCCGCGAGCTGGACAAGATGCCCATTGGCCGGATACAGTGAGTGCTTCTGCAGGGTTAGCAATCGTTCTTAAATTCCTATCCCCTTCCAGGCTCACCAAAGTGTTTCGGAGGAGCACTCGCCTCACCCAGGACGAGATCGAAGAGGAGACCTTCCGGCGCAACATTAGCTCCTGCTGCCTGTTCTTCCGCATCCGCAACTGGGAGTTCCAGTACATGCAGGAGCCGGACGTGATGCTCAAGTACAGCATCGCCCTGTCCTGGGCCATCTACATGGGTCTGCTGTCCATTCAGCTGCTGAGCAAGGAGTAAGTTCATCCCATTCCCAAAGAGAATAGTTAATCACTCATAGAATCCCCTTTCAGTGCCCGCTATCACTACTGGTTCATAGACGGCACCACCATAATCCTGCTCACCATGCTGCTGATCATCTCGTGGTACAAGAAACTCTGGATCATGTACATGTCGGATGCGGATGTGTCTTCCCCAAACGGCAGACTCAGTGGGTTCCTCTTCCGCCTGTCAGATGAGATGCAGCGCAACGTGGTCATCCGGATCGTGATTTACTTCCTGATCATTTTTTCGTACTGCGCCGTGGCCATAATGCAAGTGTTGGGATGCAGCAGGGATGACGACTATGCGGATCTGGAACCCAGTTACGAGGAACGAGTGCAGTGCTTTCATCCTTGGGTGGGAAGGTCCCCAAAATGTATCAAATGAAAGTGCTAATCATTACGTTCCCCCATTTATCTTTAGATCCTCACCAACTGCATGACCCTGATCATTGGCATGTCCTTCCTGTTCACACGGATACCCTTCATCGTCAAGTCCTGTTTCTCAGCCCTCATAATGTTGGCCTATTCGGGACTGGTGGTGTTCGAGTTCAACATCATCTACGCCAGCAGTCCCTCCACAAATGTCAACTTCAATGCCAACTTTTCGCACACCCTGCTGATGCTCATCACTTTGGGCATTTTCCATCTGATGGAGCGTCAAACGGAGTTTATTGCCAAAGTGGATTACAAGTAATGTCTGGAACTCCATATATAATGTCTTCTAACATATAATTTATTCAACAGCTGGAAGCGGCAGCTGATGAAGAAGCAGGAAGATGCTTTAATCACCAATGACACAATTAAAGTGCTACTAACCAACATTTTGCCCACGCATGTTGGTGGGTTTTTGCTCTACCTAAGTTGGTGACCCATTCTCATACATTTAATTTCCCCCTCCAGCCGACTTTTACCTGTCCAATCAACTGCAGAACGAACTCTACTACGAGGAGTACGACAATGTGGCCGTAATGTTCGCCTCGATCAAGAACTTTGACACCGACAAGATCGGACTGCGAGTGCTGAACGAGATTATCTGCGACTTCGACGATGTGGTGAGTAGTCTCCCAAAAGTTTCGGTGGATCCCCAACAAAAATAAAACGCCTAAATTTAGTAAATTCGTAACTTTGTATTGCAATCTTATCAAATCGTAATGGAATGAAGTGCGTTATATCCAAAGTGTGGGTTGAATTAGATAATAGTGAATATTTATCTAGTCTTTCGAGATAAATGGTAGTAGGTTTCAATCAAAGGGGAACAGTAATACCAAACAAATAACGCTAAAATAGTTTAAAGTAATGGGTACTACAACTAATTAGTACTGTACTAAGTTATGGTAATTTCTTAAAGCTTAAACTTAGAGACATTCTTTTGGTTTTTGGACAATGCAGAAAATAAGTTCCTTTTAACCTAAGTTTGTGGTTTTAAGGTGAATGGCCTTTAATATATGGTTCCCTTTACTATCTGCCAAGAAAATAATAGATTTCTAATGATCTATTGAATTGCAGAAATAATTATACTTATTATTAAGGAATAGCAGTTATTATATTAAAATTAATTATATTTAGAAATAATTGGTCAATACACGAAAACAAGGTTTAGTTACTACAACTGTCTATAATGATTATTGAGATTAAAGTAATACATTTAACCATTATTTCCTTCCTCAGCTGAACAAGTACTCGCAGTCCTTGCGGGTGGAGAAGATCAAGGTGGCCAACTGGACGTACATGGCGGCCTGTGGCCTGGACGTGTCCCGATCGGAGCAGGTGAATGCCCCCCAGATGAAGTTCCGCAACGTGTCGCTGATGCCGAACGGGCGGAGGAGTCGCTACGATGGTGCCCGCACCTCGAACACGGACGGAGTGCAGCGGGTGCCGTACGGAAACGGGAGCAACATAGCCCTGGATCTCGACCTGGAGCGGGGTCAGTACGAGGGCAATGTGGTCACCAGTGGGCCGCGGATCAGTGCCACCCAGAATGTGGGCAGTAGCAACGAGGTGGTGCGGGTGATGGCCGAGTTTGCCTTGGATCTGATGCGCACCATGCGGCGCTTCAACACGGAGAACATGCAGACGGAGTACGAGGGCAGCACCGACTACGGGATGCTCCGGATCGGGATCTCGCATGGAAGGGCCATGGCCGGCGTGGTGGGCATCTCGAAGCCGCACTACGACATCTGGGGCAATCCCGTGAACATGGCCTCGCGCATGGACTCCACTGGATTGCCTGGCCGGATTCAGGTCACCGAGAACACCGCCTTGAAGCTGCGCGAGTTCAACATCCAGTGCAACTACCGGGGCATGACCTTCGTCAAGGGGCGTGGCAACATACCCACCTACATCATCGGCACCGACAGCGATTACCAGTTCCTGCCACATCGTCCACCTGCGTTAAAAAAAGAAGACTAGCTGAATTTACCACAGATTAGACCTAAGACATTCGTGTATATACATACCATAGACTTAAATGGTCGCCTTTTTTAGGTGGATCTAAGGTAATATTTAATTTAAATCAATGTTGGAACACAGAAAGGGGTTGCATTAATAAAATTACTATTAAATGTGCGCAAAAAAAATAAGAGCAATTTGATTGCATGTATCTTTAATTTGGTTGCTTCATTTATAGAAGCAAAAGCAATCTAAAATACTATACCAAAGGTTTTAAAGCGTTAATTGAATCTGAAAATGTATGATTCTAAAATTAATAACACGTTTTGCTTTACCTTTTAAGTCTAAAATTTGTGAAGCACTAATATAACCAATTAAATTAAAACTCTATTGATAAACACCTGCAAAATGGATTTATCAGGCAACAATGAGAATGTGATGGACTATCGTTCGCTGGGCAACATGCCCGGCTTGGAATGGAAACTCCTGCGGGTCTGTATGTCTGCAATTGAAATAAAACTCAAATATATAATTAAAATTAACATTGAATTTCAGGTCAAGTGTCGGGAGTTGCGTTTGGAGGGTCCTTACCATCGGTATCGCCATCTGGTTGCAGTGGCCATTGTGACCCAAGTATTCATTGTCATCGAAGTTTTGATGCTCATTCATGTGATTCTGCTGTTCAGCGTGGTCAAGGTGGGATTGATACCCTGTAAAATACCCTGAGGTTTCCTAGAACTTATTTGCAGAATTTTGATTTGATCACGGTGCTGCCCAATTTTTTTGTGATCTTGCTCACTCCTGTTATTCTGATGGGCTGCAGGGATTCCAATGTGGAGCACTACGACTTTATTGCCACTTTGTGCAGCTGGTTGATGGCCTTCCTCCTCGCTGCATCGGGTTTGTAATTACTTAAAGATGACTAGCCATAAATCAGACCTCTTCCTTTCCAGACTTGATAATGCCACTTTGTTATTTTACCTCTTTTTCGCTGATGCCAAATTACGACCATGTGGTGATCGTCTTGATTTACTTGATGTTTCCAATTGTCTTTCTGGAAAACGGAAGGGAATACCTTTTGGGCCTGGCCATTTCCCTGGTGTACTTCTGCTACATGGTGTGGATGCAAATGGGCAGCAAGGACAACAAAGTTTGGGAGCTGACCGTCTATGCGACGTACCTCTTTTTTCTGAACATGACATGCTTGTTCTTCACCGGATTTCGTGAGTATTACATGAGAAATGGGCTCCTCAGTCGCTACCAATTGTTGTACCAGGACATGTTATTTCAGGTGACCGAAATACACCTTCCGTTTTATATCCCTGTTAATCCCTGATTGCTTCTCCAGATGACAATGAAAAAGGAAAAAGCTTTGCTAGACTCGATTATGCCTTTTTCGCTGGCGCGCACCTTGCAAGATGCCATCACCTCGCACATCGAAGAAAATCCATCTAATTTAGTGCCTTTTCCCAAGACACGGTGAGTTTAATGACTTGGGAAATGGGATTATGTTGATGGGAGTACAATCCACAGCCATCTGTTTGTGGAACCGCACCCGGAGGTGTCCATTCTGGAGGCCGATATAGTCAACTTCACGCGACTGACCACCACAATGGAGGTGCCGGAACTGGTGGCCATCCTGCACGAGCTCTTCGTCAGCTTTGACCTGGCTGCCAATCGGAACAGGGCGACGAGGATCAAGTTCCAGGGGGATTCCTACACCTGTGTCACCGGCATCCCCAGCTACTTCCCCACCCACGCCAATGCCTGCGTGGATCAGGCTCTGGACATGATTAAGGTGAGTCGGGAGGTGAGCCAGCGTCGCAACCGGACGATCCAGCTGCGGGTTGGAGTGCACTCGGGGGAGATCCTGGCGGGGATAATTGGGCACACCAAGTGGCAGTTCGACATCTGGTCGAAGCACGTGAACATCGCCAATCGGCTGGAGGGCTCTGGACTTCCGGGAATGGTGCACATTTCCAGTAGAACGTTGGGTTTGCTGGACAATCACTATGTGTACGAGGAGGGAACCGAAATGGCCAAGAGTGATCCTCTCATCCAACGGGCCAATCTTAGAACCTACCTAATCCACAGTCGACTGCCCGACTATGTGGAGCCCGAGGACTTGGAGATGGACAGATTTTCGCTGAACGAATACCGTCCTAGTTTCAGCAACGACTACGAAGATATCCAGGTGAAGGCGCAGCGCGAAATGATTCTCGAGGTGGAGCACATGCCGGTGAACCGGATACAGACATGCAAGTTCAGACGCACCGCAAAGGATCCGAGACAGGACATGAACGAGGAGTACCTCTTCAATCTCCAGTCCTACTTCTTGTTCACCACCTTTCGCAGTTGGAGGACGGAGTGGTCCTTCAGCCAGCGGCCGGATCTCCTCATTAAGTACAGCCTGGTGTTGGTGGTCTTTGCCGGAGTAACGATCCTGTCCATGAACCTATTCGAACAGTGAGACGAGCTTGAATGGGGTGTTTAAAATGCAAATCCTTTGACTTTCTGATTCTCAGGATCGATGCGGTGTACTATAACATATTGTTCTGGTTGCTTTTCATCCTAGTGTCGGTCCTTTTGGTGGCCACCTATAAGAAGGTCTGGCTGCGAGGACGTCGACTCACGCCCCTGTCGCAACCCTCCTTCTTCCTGAGTCGCTGGCTGGTGAAGGTATCCGATCTCATCGAGCAATCGATTTTCGTACGGGTTCCCCTGGTGTTAGTAGTGCTGTCTATCCTTTATGTCATGTCCTCGCAGGCAGTGGTGAGTCTGTGCTCCGTATAACTAAGCCCGAATAGCTACTCATCATCGCACATCGCAGTTCTGCTGTGAAATATCCAAGCTCGAGGTGGAGATTATTGACTCCGAGCTGCACAACTTTCAGCCAGCTATGATTTGCTTCCTGCCCTGGGTAGGCATATCGAGTGAAACCTATTGAATCGCAGGAATACAGATTGCTACATCCCAACAGGCAGTGACTTATGCGGTGGTAATTGTACTCAGCCTATTGTTGGTCCTCATCGGCGTTCCGCTGGTGATTAAGTTGGCCGTGGGATTCGCCATCCTGGGCTGTCACGTGGTCACCGTCCACGCCTACTACGGATTCGCCTTCGAGCGATCGGAAACCACGAACGTGGGCGTGGAGTCCAGCCTGGCCCACACCTGGTACGTGGCCACCTTCTTCATCCTGGTGGTGGTGCGCGAAGGATACCTCAACTTCGTCGTGAAGGCCACGTACTTGTAAGTGGATGGATGCTAGATTAAACATATACTATTATGTATTTTTCAGCATGCGCATCTCTTTCGAGAAGAGGCTCCAACAGACCAAGGTGAAAACGCGCACCATTTCCACCATTATGGCCAACATCCTGCCTGCCCACGTGGTGGAGGTCTTCAAGGATCGGAGGCGCAGTGATCAACTGTTCTACGAAAACTTCACCCAAGTTGCCGTGATGTTCGCCACCATCGAGAACTACGAGGCGGATAGATCGGGACTCCGGGTTCTGCACGAGATCATCTGCTACTTCGACGACCTCCTGGTCAACTACCAATTGCGCTACAAAATCGAGAAGATCAAGGTGATGGGCTGGACCTACATGGTGGCCTGTGGCCTGGACGTGGACCACTACACGGACATCTCCACGAATCTCATTTGGAATGTTACGCAGAAATCCTGTAATTGTTGAATTTACTATAATTAATCACATTAACTAATATAAGTTAAGCGCTTTATGTGATTCTGGCTTTCTATTTTTCATTCCTAGCTAGCATTCGCTTTGCCCCAATGGACGATGATGAGATAGTCAATCCGGGTATCTCCAGGCGACCCTCCCTGCCAACTTTAAACAACCTGGATGATACGGTCCTGACCATGACCGAATTCGCTTTGAACTTATTACAGATAATGCGTGAGATTCGGTCTAATGGAATACTCTTGCAATACGACTCCACGTTGACTGGCAGCCTGAAAGTTGGTGGGTTCTTTTGTATACTTCTGTTTATTTATTTATAATCCAATCTTTTAATCCAATCAGGCATTGCCCATGGACCCGTGATGGCCGGCGTTGTTGGACTGTCGAAGCCGCACTACGACATCTGGGGTCATACTGTGAACATGGCCTCCCGAATGAGTTCCACGGGTGTGCTGAATGCCATTCACGTGACCCAGGACACCTCGAAAATCCTGCAGAGCTTCAACATCCGCTGCAATTACCGGGGACAGACGCAGGTGAAGGGCGTGGGCGAAGTGCCGACCTACCTGGTGGACTTGGACCAGAATCTGGAGTTCAAGCCCCACTTCCAGAATGACAATTCGCCCCACGAAAGCCTAATCTCCGTGGAATTGGTGGACGAAAAATAACTAGAAGCGAGAGCCATTAGCTAAATTGTTGTTATTCAGATTAAGAGAAGCAGTAAAGTAAATCAAGGCACTGGTATTATTTAAAATGAATGCTTTACTTTGTCTAGTTTTCGGGAAAAACTAGAATAATATAATATATTGATGTTAACATCTGGTAGTCTCTCAAAAAGTCAACTATTTTTTTTGGTTTTCTGATAAAAACTATAGTAAATATTGGTCAAATGTTCGAATGGCATACCTCGTTGAATTCGTTATAAAATTTCCCATCGATTGGTATTCTCAGCTAAAAATTTTTATTTTGGCCCAAAATTGGCAAAAAATCAAGTGTTACCCCTCATGAAATATGCGAAAATCGGTCAAAAAATAAAATTTACCAAATCCACATGGAATTCATTGTATGGGCTCTCAGCTGCTCAAAACAGTCATTCTTTTGGCTGTGCGGCCCATTTTGGCAAAATTACAACAAAAAACGCTGAAAAAATGTGTCTTAAATATATGTTTTTGATGGGCAAAATCCAGAAAAAACAGCCCGATTTTTCAGTTTTTTAATAAAAACTCTTGGAAATAATGGTCGTATCTTGGAATGTCATACCTCGTTGAATTCGTTACAAAATTTCCAATCGATTGGTATTCTCAGCTAAAAAATTATATTTTGGCCCAAAATTGGCAAAAAATCAAGTGTTACCCCTTATGAAAAATGCGAAAATCGGTCAAAAAATAAAATTTACCAAATCCACCTGGAATTCATTGTGTAGGTTCTCAGCTGCACAAAATAGTCATTTTTTTGGATGTGGGCCTTATTTTGGCAAGGCTACGGCAAAAAACCCTTAAAAAATGGGCGAAATCCAAAAAACAGCTCGATTTTTAAGTTTTTTAATCAAAACCATTAGAAATAATGGTCTGATCTTGGAATGTCATACCTCGCTGAATTCGTTACAAAATTTGCAATCCAATGGTATTCTCAGCTCAAAAATTTTATTTTGGCCCAAAATTGGCAAAAAATCAAGTGTTACCCCTTATGAAAAATGCGAAAATCGCTCAAAAAATAAATTTTACCAAATCCACCTGGAATTGATTGTATTGGTTCTCAGCTGTACAAAACAGTCATTGTTTTTGCTGTGCGTGTTATTTTGGCAAAGTTACAACAAAAAAATCTTTAAAATATGTGTGTTTAAATATATGTTTTTGATGGCCAAGATCCGGAAAAAATTAGCTCGATTCTTCAGTTTTTTGTTCAAAACCCTGGGAAATAATGGTCTAAAGTTTTAATTTCAATAAATTTCCAATCGATTTTAAAAACAACAAAAAAATTTTTTTTTTTGCTGTTAAAACACATTTATTTATTTATTATTTATTTGACAAGCGCACTGCTACTTAAATGGCAACTTATTCTAATCAGTCTTAACAAAAACATTGACGAATATGTTATGATGTTATGGTAGCTGCAGCCCAGAATTATGCTTCAAATAATAAAAACTTTTAGCTAAAAATTTGAATTTTTTTTAATTTGTCTGGGCCACAGAACTATTTTTTTGCAACCAGGAGGAACCATTATTCCCATTATTCTAATAAATAAATAAACACTTAAAGCTGTTTTTCTTTATAGGCATAAAAGACAGCCATTATACTATTATCTCTCTTCAAATTTAGTTTTCTTGCCTTCTCTCCTTACTTGATGATTTAAAATCAATCTCTTTTGCTTCACCAGTCTGGAATCAAGAGTAGTCAAATAAAATAGTTCTGACTGAATCAAATGTTGTTCACTCTGAATTTATACGCATCTTCTAAATGGATAACCCGTATTACCAAGAAGACGTGGTGGCCTACCGCTCACTAAGCACGATTAAGGAGCTGGAATGGCGGCACTTGAAGGTATATTCCGACTTGTCTCAAATAGTTTAACTACTTTAAGTTGTATTCCTAAAACGCAGAAGAAGTGTCAAAGTCTGCATCTGGAAATGGCCTGCTCTCGTCTTCGGGAGCTGGTGATGTTATTGAATGTGGGTCGCTTCATTTGGACCATTGAACTACTGATGGTCCTCCACATGATAATCTTGCTCGCCATAGTAAAGGTTGGCTAATCTCTTGTATTGTGTATCTTTCCCTGACAAAAAGACTCCTTTCTTTATTTTAGAATGTTGTATTGGTCTCATTGCTTCCCTATTTGGTGGTTATGCTCTTAACTCCTTTTATTATGCTAGGCAGCATTCATGATAACGTTGGGATCGTATTCAATACGGTTATCTCGTGGGTGATGGCAATTTCGCTTACCCTAATGGGTGAGCTGGTTATAACATGCTCTGTTTAGATAATTCTAAGTGTTTCTTCCCCGCAGATATTCTCTCTGACCTTTTGGGAGCCATCCACCATGGATCGCCGTATCCGATAGTACCCTGCTACGATCATGTGGTGCTGGTCTGTGTCTACATGACTCTACCCATCTCGTTTTTCAATGGCTATTGCGTTTATATCCTGGGAGTGACGGTCTCCGTTGTGTATTTCTGCTACGTTCTCGAGATGCAATACCTGAATAATCAGGTTTCGGTTGCCCTGCTCGCCTCCTATGCGATATACCTCTTCATCCTGAACCTGATATTTTGGTACTTCACCTTGATTCGGGAGTACAACATGAGATACTCAGTCGCTATCAGTTGGTATACCAAAGCATTGTCTATCAGGTATGTTATTTTTTAATGTATAGAATTGTAGTATACCCTATTTATTTCGCCTTGACCAGACGGTATTAAAGAAGGAGAATGCTCTATTGGAGTCAATCTTACCACGCAGAATGGTTCGCACCCTGCAGGAAGAAATCTTCAATCTTATCGAGGACCAGGACCGACATATCCCTCATCACGGGATCTGCTCACGGTGCGTATACGTTATAAATATTACTTTTATTTATTTAAATTTATTCAATTAACAACTTTTAAAGTAATGTTATAATAAAACAGTTTAAGTAGATCACTCTACCAGTTTTATTTGTTAAATTTCTCTTCTACAGAAAACTTTTTTTGGAGCCGTACCCGGAGGTGTCCATCTTGGTGGCCGACATGGTCAACTACACGCACTTCACCACCACTCTGGAGGTGCCGCAACTAGTGGAGATCCTCCACGAACTGTTTGTGAGCTTCGACCTGGCTGCCAATCGCAACCGGGCGATGCGGATCAAGTTCCTGGGCGACGCCTACAACTGTGTGGCCGGCATCCCCAACTACAACGCCGCCCACGCCTCCTGCTGCGTGGACCAGGCGCTGGAGATGATCCACATCACGCAGGACCTGAGCAGCCGGCGCAGTCTGTCGATCAACCTGCGGATCGGGGTGCACTCGGGAGAGGTACTAGCCGGCATCATCGGGCACACCAAGTGGCAGTTCGACATCTGGTCCAAGGACGTGGACATCACCAATCGGCTGGAGACATCCGGATTGCCGGGCATGGTGCACGTCTCCCAGAGGACACTGAGCATGCTGGATGAGCACTATGTGTTCGATGAGGGCACGGAGGTGGCCAAGAATGATCCCATTCTGCAGAAAGCGGGCATCCGCACCTACCTGGTCAGCAGCAGACAGCCGGATCCAATGGAGCCCGGAGACCTGGACAATGAATTCAGCAATGCCTCTATTAATTCTGGCCGTCTCAGCTACGGTGGCTATTACGAGGAGATCCAGGGCAAGGCGCACCGCGAGATGATGGACGAGGTGGAGCACATGGCCTTGGGCTTCAGCTACACCGAGTGCAAGCGACAGAGGTTCATCAAGAAGAGGACCTTAAGCGAGAAGTACATGCTCAATGCCCGGATCTACTTCATCCTGGGCGTATTTCGCAGCTGGAAAAGGGAATGGGCGTTTCACAGCCTTCCGGATCTGATGATGAAATACACCCTGCTGTGGGTGCTCTTTGCCGGACTGGCGATATTATGCATGAACTGGATCGTAACGTGGGTCTTTCTATGGCTAAAAATTATACCTACCTCTTACTTGTCCTCTTGCTCACAGACCCCAATATTTAAACCTCTTTGTCATGTTCGGCATTCTTCTGTTACTAGCGGTACTGTGTTTCCTGGCCGGCTACAAGAAGCTCAGCTTGCAGAGGAGGCAACTCACGCCCATGTCTCAGCCATCTTGCTTCCTAAGTCGCTGGCTGATCAGGATCTCGGAACTCATCGAGGAGTCGATTTTCGTAAGGGTTCCTGTGGCAGTTGTGGTGCTGCTCCTGCTCTACGTAATGGGCTCACTGGCAGTGGTGCGTAGTTCCTATTCCCTGAACCACTGGATACCTTCTTATTCGTCTACCATAGTTTACCTGCGATGTGGCCAAGCTGGAGCTGGGAATCATCGAAGCCCACCTGTATAACGAGAAGTCCTATGCAGAATGCTTTGGACCCTGGGTAGGTTATGTAAATAAAATACTCCTTTAAAAGTATTCTAATAACTCCTTTAGACTATAACCTACTGTGTGGTGATTGTGCTCAGTCTGTTGTTTGTCTTCATGGGCTGTCCGCACTTGATCAAGATGTTGGTAGGCCTTCTAATCCTTGGCCTCCACTTCTGCACTATTCACTACTACTACGGATTCGCCTTCGAGAGATCAGAGACCACAGATCAGGGTCTGAAAGCGGACTACGCGCACACCTGGTACCTGGTTGCCTTTTTTATCGTTGTGATTATTCAGGAACATCACCTCAACTACATGAGCAAGGTTTCCTATTTGTGGGTGATCGAAGATTATTCTATTTAAATCCCCAATAATACATCCTTTTTAGTATGCGCGTCTGCTACGAGGATACACACACGCAGACGCAGGACAAGCTGCGCTCCATCAAGATCATCATGGCCAACATTCTGCCTTCACACGTGGCGGAGGTGTACAAGGTGCGGCTAGCCAGCGATCAGCTCTACTACGAGAACTTCAACAAGGTGGCCGTAATGTTCGCCTCCATCGAGAACTTCGATGCGGACACGGCGGGTCTGCGGATTCTGCACGAGATCATCTGCTGCTTCGACGACCTCCTGGTCAACTACCAATTGCGCTACAAGATCGAGAAGATCAAGGTGATGGGCTGGACCTACATGGTGGCCTGTGGCCTCGAAGTGGAGCACTACACCGACTTCTCCATCGACATTCCAGTCAAGGCGCCCGAGACGGAATCGGAAGTGAGACGCAGATCTAGCGGTGATTTTCTGTTTGTATATGGTTTAACTCTTATTATATGCTATTTTATAGTGCTCACTGTTCATTTCGGAAGCACTGAGGATGATGAAATGAGCGGAGATACCGTCAGCCAGCCATACGCTCAAGTGCAAGATGCCGCCGTCCTGGTGATGACCGAATTTGCCTTGGATCTATTGCGAATCATGGACGATATCCGCTTTAACCATGTGTTTTCCGAGTATAATACTTTTATGAACGGCGGCCTCAAGATCGGTGGGCTTTCTAAAGTCCATTGGCAATACCTTCACCCTATATTTAATCCTCTTTTCCAGGCATCTCCCATGGACCTGTGATGGCCGGTGTCGTTGGACTTTCAAAGCCGCACTATGACATCTGGGGTCACACCGTCAATATGGCATCCCGAATGACCTCCACTGGACTGCTGGACAACATCCAGGTGACAAGGCACACGGCCAAGGTGCTGCGGCAGTTCAACATCCGCTGCAATTACCGGGCCCACACGGAAGTGAAGGGAGTGGGCAAGGTGCCCACATATCTAGTGGTGTTGGACAACAATCTGGTCTTCCACGAGCACGACCAAGTGAGCATGAGTATGAAGAGTTCAAAGAGCCTGCTCATTGAAAGTGGTCCACTACCATTTACGGTGAGCTACGTTCCTCCAAAGTCATCCACCTCGGAAGGTGAGTCAGAGGAGGCTGAGGAGGAGGCGGCAGAGGAGCAAGAGCACGACGAAGAGGAGGAGGAGAACGAGCTGGAGGAGCCGAAACAGGAACGCCAGAAGGGCGGCATCATCATCACCGGCGACTTGTATTAATATATATTTTTATTTAAGCATTTATAACACACATTGATAGATGTATTCGTACAGTTCAAAACAAATGTTCTTCTTGAGGTTAAATACGTTACGATTTGAGCACTCGCTGAAATCCTTGCCCAACTAGTGATCCAAGTATATACGTATGTGGATAATTCAGAATTATACATAGTCATTAAGTTATGTACTTGCTACAGATAATACACGCATCTCGACGAATACAAACAGCACGCATCTTAATCTTCATCTTCATTTCCATCGTCAACAAAAAAGCACCATACGTGTGATCAGGTTTCGGTTTCGTTTGGTTTTGTGCACAGTTTTGAGCTTAAGTAAGCATTGCAGCTGATTTGGGGCGTTTAAATAGTCCTTACTCGTTGACAGAGCTGGAGTTTAGCAGGGCGGTGTCCTCGGGAATGGGCTTTCGCTTATAGGCGGGCTCAGTGGCCAGGTAGACAACCAGAGCTCCAAATACGACGTACAGCACTCCGATCACATTGGCGAGGACACCAGCAGTCGGCAGGGAGGAATAGGGGGGATTTGTGCTAAAAAAAATAATTGTTATCAGATCCATCTACCAAACGTCTACTTTATACTTACACAGCGAAGATTGCCTTCTCGGTGAGTCCCATCAGAGCACTTGCGATGGCCAGAACGAAGCCAAACAGTCCGAAGTAGATGTGCAGCGGCATCAAGGCGATCCTGTAGTTCTCCCTTACACCTGGCGCCAAAAAGGCCACAAATCCGGCCACGTACTGCAGCGAGAAGACGATCACCGCCGACAATCCCAGCCACGAGTGCAGGGAGTACATATTGGGAATGGGCGGACTGGCCAGGTTGTGCGAATCGAAGACCGTCTTCAGGGCAATCACCGTCAGAATAAATGCAGCAATGTGGATGCCGGCGTGGGTGAGCTTCAGTGTCTTCTTGCGCGTGGTGCGGAAACCGCGATAGATCAGAATGGCTGTGGGATTACCAAAATTAATTTGCGATGTTCAATGGGAGTGGAGCCAACTTCTGCAGTGGCACCTCTTCCGCTGTCTTTACTCACAGTTGCCATACAAGTAGATGAAGCCAATGGTCATGAACAGCGGGTGCCAGTTGAACTCCAACTTTGGATTGGAGCTACCACCCAGTCCGCCAAAGTGCTGGCCAATCCAGGTGCCCACCAGGACGATCATCGTCAATCCACATAGCTGGGTCAGCACGTAGAGAACCTTGAAGTTAATCAGCGCCGGATCCATGTTGGCTTTGCTGCTGCCTGAAAATTCCAACAAATGGTTGGGATGAGATATAAATAGAAAACACTACGCATAGCACGCATTTTTGGCGATCTAATCGCTGAACTCATTCAAGGGTAGAGATATTGGGGGATTGGGGAGGTGGATTCCAGCACTTGTATATATTCCATATTTTTGGTTTATGGCCACTTGTAAGTAAACATTATTCAATTACATTTTCCACCTGTACTTAAATATATATTACCGGCCCAAACACTTGCTGATAACATACGACCAGAAGTTTACAAACTAAAAAGCTCCGTTGAACCCATTTTCATTCGTTATTAAAACAAACAGTTCCTTTGTCGCCAGCAATCCGATACTGCGATAAACAACATCTCAACATATCGTCTGGGTATAAATTAATGAAAAAGCCAGCTCCCAAGCACTCGGACACACCCACATGAAATCCTCTCTCATCGGGCTTAATTTGCCAAATTCATTTATGTTTGTTTGCACAACATTAATACTCGCCTGCGTTCTTTCCTACTTTATCTGTCTAGCAGGCGCAAAATTTTTATCAGCCTTTTTTAGAGATAGTCTCACCATCTGATATTAAATCGCTCTAAATAGCATCGTACATGAATGTACCTTCTGTTTGATGTTCCAGCATGACACATTAAATAAATTAAAAATTCTTTTCATTCAACTAAAAGTGCGGCTAGTGAAAGTATCCATATATTTGATAATTTTCAACTTTAGTTAAGTGAATGAGAGTAATATAGAGTCTTTACTCTGATTTTACCAAACAAACAAGTTCAAGCTCCCCTATCTAAAAATAAACTGTTATATTTAGCTAAATTTAATATATGCAGATAGTTTTACAATACGGAAAATACATTTTCTTGGCTACATATTATTTGCATATATTAAAGCGTAGGGAGAAATACATATTCTGCAGTTCCATATGGTCAATCATGGCATATGGACCAAATAAATATATTCATAAATAAGAATCTCCATTAAAATGAATGATTTCTTTAAATCAGACTGTCGTAATTTGTTTTCATTTTGCATTTCTCTTTATTTACGAAATAATATCCTAATAAATTTCAGGTTTATAACTTGCTTTGTCAAACCCGCAATATCGTAATCCTAAAAGATCATAAAAATTTTTTACTTAAATATTGTAAGTTATTCTCATAGACTTGTGCTCCTAAACTTAGGTGTAGATGCACTCGATAAGGGCTCGCTATCAGCCAATTTTGGTATGCAAATGATGTTTTAATTTCAACCCGGGCAAACTGCAAAAAAGCCAACCTGCGAGGTGTAAGCTTGTAAATTGACTGATAAGTGGGCCAGAGACAATTGTAGTTGGCAAGTCGCAATTATAAATGCTGGTAAATGGCAGCAGCCACGCGTCCCCTCAGTTGTTCAATGAGTTCGAGTGCTCTCCATTTGGCTCTGTTTTTTTATTTTGGGGACTCGGGTTCGTCTCGGGGCGAGTGAAATTAATTGGCATATTAATTGTGATTATGATTGTTAATTATTAGGGTTAAGTGGGCGTGCCAAAGACGCGCTGGCCAGCAAAGCGTTGCAGCAGATCGTGCGCAAAATTTGAAAGAAACAATCTATAGATACATGGGCGCACAGAAAGTAAAACCCGGGCAATAAGACGACGACTGTGGAAAAGCGTAAAAATTCGAAGACAGCAAAAGTAAAATAAATAAAGGCTGAAAAACTAAAGTGAAATTCAGCTAGTTGCCGATCGTGATGGTGAGTCGGTGAAAAGCGGGGAGGGAAGAGTGGGGGAGGCATTGCAGTCTCTCTTTCAGTGCGTTTTGCTTTAACTTTTACTAAAACTAAACACTCGAGTGTTTGCGGCTGGTGGCAGGTTGTTGGTTTTACTTGGCACTAATCAAACTTGAAGCCAAAATCCAATGCCATTCACTGTCTACCTGTTGATGTAGCTGTGGCTGTTGGTGTGGCCAATTCAATGCCAGCAATGGTTGTTGCAGGTTGCACTAGTTCTGCTGTTGCAGGTGTCACAGGTGTTGCTACTGTTGCTGGTGTCACTTCCACTGGCTTTTCCCCATTGGTCACGGCGATCACCGTCGTTGTGCTGGACACCGTTGTCGGTGACTCCTCCGGAATGGCGGGCTCCACCTGGACAACTCCGCTCTCCGGCTTTGTCGCCTGCTCCACGTCCGTATCCTTCGACATTGCCTGTGTACTGATTAATCAATAATTCACGAATGGTTCACAACAAAAACACATGCAATATTGGCCAGCGTTAATTGCCCTAAGACACAACAACACTAGCCTACTACACTAACTAACACGAAACGATAATCGAAAACAACCGAACACTTCGGCGTGCAATGCGCAACTGAATTTAAAGTTTTCCAGCCGCCGCCCGGCAATGGTTATGGAAAGCTTTTGCCCCACATGAATCTCTCGCATGCGATAATCTCACATATTGTTCAATTCGCTGTGGTTAATTGTTTGGTTTTTGATGCGGATTTGGATTCGGTTTCCAGTGGGGCTTGTGGGTGCCAAGAAATGCTGGTTAGTATGCCAGACCAGGTTGTTTGTTTCTGGTTGCATTCATTATTTTTTTTTGCATTTTGCATTCCTCTGGTCTATTCAAACTATTGTCAATGAGACGCATTTCAATCGAGACTTTGACTTTAATGTTCTATGCATATTAATGGGATAATGCAGTTGTACTTGTATATGACGAACTTAAAAGGATTTTTTTAATAAAAATGTATATTTATATGGATGTATCCGGTGTATACTTTTCGACCTGTTCTTATTTCTAAATCTAAGGAATTCCCCATTGTTATTTTTACTTTTGGTCCACAGCATTAGGTTATCACTTAATTTCAACTCAAATCACACGATATGTATTTTTAATCAAAAGAGAATTGGGTGAGTACTTTAAAGTCTTTCAGTGCAGGGACTTTAAATCATTTTATTTTAAAATATAGAAGCTTCACTGTATGTGCATTTTGACTCACCCAGTGAGAACAACATGGCGTATACTTGATTGATGCTTCACGCTGCTCTGATAATGATTGTGATTAATACTGCTTTTCTTATCTGTAGAGACCAATTAGGAGACTTTAAAACAATGACTCTCGAGTTTTTCACAATTTTTTGATGCGGATTGGGTTTTTTTTTCTACTGACGACACTTCTACGCACTTTACTTGTTGAACAAACTGCTTAAAATGCAGGAAGCTGTTTCACCCATATGGAGCAAAAAGGGAAAAGCGAAGTGAAAATTCTGCAAAGGCTGTGTGGGCGTGAAAGCCCTATAGGCCCACCCACTCCCCTTGTTTTGGGCCTTCCATTTGGCATTTCCACGAGCTTTTCCTTGAAAGCTCAGAACGGTGGAACCACTAACACACATGCAAACAAACATTCAAGCCCACAAACACACCACTACAGAAAAACCACCTGTTGGATATTAATGAAAGGCCGCCACCAAGTTATATTTACTTTCTAACTACTTTTAAAGATGCGGTTAAAAAACAGTGATTAAACTTACAGATTCGGTGTAAGTCCAAAAATTTATTTAATTTGAAAGAATTCCAAAATTAAACGCTTTTAACGGGAAATACAAGAACAAAAGCCGCAAAAACACAAAGAGATAATTTGGCAAAAACAAAAGAACCGAATGCTGTGTGATTTTTACTACGTCAGCATTTTATTAACTTGGTTAACTAAGCGTCTGGTTCATTGATATTTAATACACTTAAACATGACAAGGGCAAGGTCAAACTTTCACTGAGGAAGGAATTTAAAATGAAACACGATCTGCTTAACCGCTACTTTGCTTTGTTTTGATCTGTTTACTCATTTGGAAAAAGCGGTACAACCAGGGCTGCAGATCAGATTAAACCATTAAAGTTGAAAAATGTTTGAAATATTTGTATCAATTTTTATCCCGCTACCCTATTAGCCAGCCCTCGCTTAATACAATTTTTTAAAAAAATATTTAAATAATTTAATCTGGGGAAAAAGTTACTGCGCAGCCCTAGCCGCACCATTTATGCCAGTGTGACCGTTTTAACCATCTGGAAACACCCTAGCGCCTCTGTTTAACAGCACTAACAGCGCAGCTTCAGCAGAAAGCACAATTTAAAATAATCAAATAATCACACAATAAATGCTGGCAAAATGCTATCCAACCTGCTGGTGACCAAACAAAAAGTGGTCCTCGTAATAGGTGAGTCTACAGTGGTGACCCCATTTGCCTGCCAATTAATGCGCGCCTCCACTTCCCTTCCCACCCAATAGATGAGCTAAATCGGGAGCGCATTGCCCCCAAGTTCATCGGAAGTTTACTGCACGAACAGGGACAGGGGGCGGAAACCATCAAGGCCCTACCCACCGGCGTCAGTCTGAAGCACGTGGCCACCTTCGAGGCGTTAATAACCGAGCTCTCCAACCACAACAACAATAACTCCACTCAGGCGGGAGAAGCCGGCGATCTGGAAGGTGGTGGCTCACCAGGATCCAAGTCCTCCGGTTTTAATGTCATCCTGCCCACCTTGGCCGACCTGCTGTGCTACCAGTCGCCCGCCTTTATCTTTGGCTTCCTAAACCGTCTGCGTCGCTCGGAGTACGTTCGCCGTGTGTTCCTCTGGGCCTCTCCTCAGCACCTACAGCATCCCCATGCCGCCTACATCCTGGCTGGCTGTGAGTACCTGGCGGAGTTGGTTCTTCGCCTGGAAACCGATAAACTGTTGTCGCTGATATCACGAAAGCCTGGTGGCGGAGTGACCAACAGACGATTCTCCTGTCAGGTCAGCAAAACCCAGTTCCAAGTAACGCCGCTGGACGGAGGACTCCCAGCGGGTGTCTCGCCCAAACAGCCTTCCCCAGAGGTGGAGCAAAATCCACAGCCGGCCAGCAGCACCTTCAAAATCGAGCTTGATGAGGACGAGGTGGTGGCCCGCAATGCACTCACCCTGCCATATGAACGGTGAGTGGAGGATCTATAACTAAAAGATATTCCAGAGAGACTTTAAACTTATATGTTTTTTATATTCCAGCACCAGCGAGCCGTCCGAGGGCAACATTATCTACACGCCCGATGCCGACGACGACTTCGATGAAGAGGATCCGGACGAGGATCTGTGCATCTAGGCTGCCCGCCGGCAGCGAACGGCAGTACAAATAGCCTTGGCTTTAAGTCTACTTAAGTCTAATCTACTAAATACATCAAATACCTGGAATTCCGGCCCCAAAGTTCCGCCAAGGGGTGTGTTTAACGTCCAAAAGAGGAGCAGAATGAATCTTTGAACGACCAGTTTAGTACATGTAGAATTGCTCATTTATTTTGGATAACTTGATATGTAAATCAAAAAATCGAAGAAACTTTGTGAATACAACTGATTCAATTGCTATCTGGTGGTGCCCTAGCTTATGACTTAGTTAAGGAATTGCGTCTAGCTAACCTTATGTACAGTTAACTCTGGATTACCTCCACGATATTTGGCTGCAATGCAATCATTTGGTGTCCAGTGCGTTGCGTATTTACAAGGCGTTCAAACCTAACTAACTTAACTAGTTCAAAAATTCTATGCTCTATTATTGAAAAAATCAAATTACAAAAGGAGCGGCGGAATTCCGCATCCGGTCAAGATGGCGCTTACAAGTTCACATTTATCACAACAATCTATACGAAAACATTGAGGAGAAAAAGGAGCTATCAAAAAATGGTTAAAAGTGGATCGGTATCTAAATCTTGGCGAGTATTTACACTATAGAATTAATAACAAAACTGATCAATGGCAATGGCTCATTTAAGCAGGGCATCCACATCGCTCTTGGGGTCGGGAGCCAGTGAGCTCCATGCGGAATCGCTGCAGAGTGGCAGGGACTCCTCGGTATCCGCTTCCACTACGCAACTCTCACGGAGTTGAAAGAATTGCCCGACCAACCGGTCTATCCAACTGTGCAGGTCCTGGCCTAGCATCCTTCCATGTGCAAGGGATTCCTCGCGCATGGTGATCTGCTCATCGTCGGTGTGCAGATGTTGTTGCCACTCTATGGGCATCTCGAAATCCTCGGGCAGTGCCACTGCCAAACCGGCGTTCAGCATTTCTGCATCTGAGGATTTCTCTAACGGATATCCTTTATAGTAGGCCAGTGGTGATATGAGAAACTTGAGCTGTGCATAAATAGAGTTGCGACCTATTAACTTGGCTGTCCAAATCCCGGGTGTGATTGGATGTTTGAGCAGGGTTTTCGAGTGGTTTATCACATCGCTGGTGGAGTCTTCGACATGCAGTTCGTTGAAATCCTGCAGGCGACCCAGCGGATCTATCCACAGCAGAGTCAAGTTGTAGGAGTGCGACGCTGATCCCGAATCCGCAGAAGCCTGGAGTGTGTAGCTCAGAAGCAGTTCACTTTGGGGACCCAAGAGCTTTCCAAAATTGCGAGCCACCTGCTCCTTTTGATCAAAGTCTGTGGAGACCTCAAAATTGCGTAATCGCTTGCTAAAGCGGGCATTTCTCGCCAGCTTGCCTTGCTGCACTGGACGCACTCGCGTCTCCAGGTGAAGTGGTTTCCCTGATGCTCCTCTAGCTCTGTAACGCACCAGGAAACCCTTGTATTGATCCCGGTGAAGGTAGTGGGTGAGCTCTATGAGTTCTAGGGGATCCAATTTGGCTTGACGAGCAGAAAGACGCATCAAGCTATCACCAATACTCCTGGCTAAATCATCTCCTGATCCGTGGGCATCTTCTTGGTGATACAGGGACTGCCAGTAGCCATGCAGATTTGCGTACTCGCTGGTATACGGCCCGTAGAGCCACTCCTCCAACTGCAACAGCACTGCTTGGTTTATCACCGGCTCAAACTTGCGGGCAAAGAAGAGTGATTTCTGTTCTGTGGCCTGCAGCCTGGTCCAATCCTCAGGCTTAAAATCATTCGGACTGCATCCGCACCAGTCCACCACATGTTTGTACTGGCATTTGCATCCTTGCTTCCGTTTCCAGTTGGTCACGTGCAGATTGTTGTCTACATAGCTGGTACAGTGCTGCGTATTCCTTAGCACAGTGTGGAAAAACGACTCCGCTGGCAAAAGGGTATGCCGAAAGAGCTTGAGCAGAGCCTGCAGTAGCTCATCATCTTCCTTGGGATGGGTTACATAGGCCACGAAAGGTCGCGATAACGCCACCCAGTCACTTCCGCCATCTACTTGGATTCCCGCTGGCAGCTTGCGATCTCCTATCCTCCACATGTGCGTGTCGCACTCCACGAACGTCTTGTCCAATCCCTGCTTCTGGATAAACTTTTGCGTTTCACGACCGTGGCCCTTGACGAAGTTCCTGCCCGGATTGGCACTCATGAAATCCACCAATTTGTCGAGAGTCTTTACGGGAAAATCACTTTCACTCAGGTTGATCACAAAGTCCCAGTGCCAGTTGGATTGCAGGAGGTCCTCCATGCACTGGAGCAACATAGTCAGCAGGGAGGCTCCTCCCCATATCGTTGAGAATCGCTTGCGAGCCAAACGGATGTTGGGAAACTTCGACTCCAGTTCCAGCAGGTTCCGATACAGGTAATCTTGGCGCTGAGGGAAAAAACAAGAAAAAATTTTAATACATTTCAATGGTTACATATAAACAAAAAAAACTCCAGTTAAAGCAATTTAGCTAAATACCCTATTAGCATTAATAACTTTAATCCAAATAGTTAATTCAATCAATGTAAAATCTAAAGAAAAATAACTGACAACGCGTTAGTGTTGATATTTTTATGAACCTGAACGCGCACTACTCAGTCATAGTAATTCATTTGTGGGGCTAGGCAATTAGTATACAATGTAAATTAAATGCATCGCTTATTGTGCACTTTCCTGTATTAAACAAGACACTTTATATAACCAGTAACTATGTAGTTCAAGGCTTTCCTGATACAGCTATTCAGCTGGTTAGCTGTAAACCATACCATACATAAATCAGTTTCAGTGGCCAACTATTTTGGCCGTCAGTGTGTTAAATTGTGCAAATTAGCGCAATTAATTGAACACGCTTTAATTGCCGAGTTCCGGCCGTTGACCCACCTCGTCCACATGAATGTAGTAGACGTGCTCCGGAGCGTAGAGCGCCTTCAGCAGTCGATGCACCTGTCGCAACGCTCTGCCGTTGAGCGTCAGCAGAAATGCGATCCGCACGCGCTTTGTTCCCGCCGGAGGAGTGGTGGCTGCCAGCTGAGCAGTGAACTCTGCAAGAGAAGACATTCATTTTAATAAATATACTGGTCTCACATGCTGTATTTCAAGCTGATTTTGCTCTGATAAGGCTTTAAAATAAGAAAATAATACAAAAAGAAGGCATATCTAATTCGAATTAACCTGACTAAATAGTTAAATAGGAAAAATTAATAATACTTTTCCTAGTCGAAAATTATAATATTATAGAATATTTATACTTTATATTATAAATTATATCAAGCATATATGTACATATTTGATTCAATAACTGCAAACGTTACTAGCACTTTGGTTTTCAAACACGTGATATTATAATACAAGCATTATTAATGTACTGGACTCGAAATGATCCCAATCCAGCTATAAGATCATCTACAGTACTCACTGGCTATGCCGGTCTCGTAGATGTTCATGGCGTAGAAGCCACCACAGATCTCCTTGGCGTTGCCCAGGCACTTGGTGTTGCAGCTGGAATCCGGCAGTTTTGCGGCACTTGGAGGCGTATCAAAGCCGCAGAAGCACTCGCGTCCGTACTGGACACCTGCATAGGGATAGCCGCTCTGGAGGCACAACTCTACACATTTGGCGGGGGAATTGGACGTCTTGGAGCTGCTGTAGTAGCCTGCGAGGAGGCGGCGATCCTTCTCATCCTTGTAGCAGCCCAGAGACACGTTGGCCGTGTGGTTGCCCGCCGGACAGCTGCTCCGGAGTTGGGGGGCATAGAAGCGACCGGCTTGGATGGCGCAGGCGATGTGCGCGATATGTTCTCGGCAGTCTTTCGTTTTGGCGCGCTGCAGGGCGGAGATGGCCTCCCTGGCGAGGATGTCGCACTCTGGCTGGAAGCCCAGTTGCTGAGCAGTCAGTTTGGTCCTGCTTGGTGGCTGGACTCGCTCCTGAGCCTGCGGCGGAGGTGGACTGGCGGGCACCTCAGCCGCATCGAATCCGGAGCCGGAACCGCCGCCCACGATGTCCAAAGATTTGTAGGCCAGGAACAACTGGATGGCCACGATGAGCAGCAGGATGAGGAAGAAGGCGCGATAGCGTCGCAGCCAACGGGCGGATACCGATTGCTCCATGGCTAGTGGAATCTCCAGGGGATTCTGCTCCTTCTGTGGGGCTGCTCCTCCAGATTCTCTGTGTGTGAGTGAGCTGTGGTCCGTGATTCTCTGTGGCAACGAGGCGGGGACATGTTCTGCTCTCTACTGATGGCGGGCGAAGCATCGGGATTTGTTGGTCTGGCTAATTAATGGCATTTTTCCGCGGAATGGAAAACTCGCCCCCGCACTTGCTTTACCACCAGTGTGACCGCACTTTAGTGAGGTCAAAAATACTGTTCCCACATTGCTGACATGGGCGCGTTCAGCAGTCTGCTTAAATTCCATAAACCGAAACATAAATAAATTGGCTGAAGTTAATACAAATTATTTTATGCAGAACAGAGGACAACCATAATCGATTTTTTAAAATATATTAGTTAATTTTAGATAAGATCTGTAATGAAAAAAGTAGTTATTTTTCGTGACTTCCACCGTCACTTTGCTGAACGCATCACAGCTGTTCTTACTGACTATTAAAATACTGCTGAGCGCACCCCAGCTTCGAACATATGAAAAACACAAGCGGGTGGAATTAATATTGATATATCTCAGAATAATGGTCGATCCGAACCGGAAGATAAATCGCCTGGCCGACAAGGACCTCAACTTCCTGGAGTCGTGCGAAATAGAGTTCGCTGGTCGCTTCACAGACGACGATCCGGAGTTTATGGCGCACTGCAGCAAACCTTTGCCGGAACCGCCAATCGTGGAGAACTGGATGGGCGGAGGAGGTGGCGGAGGCGGAGGTGGCTTCTCGGGCGGCGGAGGAGGTGGTGGGCACCCTTACCAAAATCGATACAACGGCCATCGAAGGGGTGGTGGCGACAGAGGCTGGCAGCGACGAGGAGGCGCCGGCTATCACAATAACCAGGACAGAGGATTCAGGGGTAAGTCACGGGTAGCTCAATGTCTATATATAGTAACCTAACATACATGCACGCACAGACAACCGGCGCAACAACAGATACGATCCCAGAGAGCGTCGGGATCGCTATGAAGGAGGCAGAGAATCCGGATCTGGATCTGGTGGCTATAAGCGATCTCATGATCATAACCAACGCAATGACCCCCCCAACAATGAACCACCCATGAAGGTCAGACGCGACTATGGGAACTTTGTGCCTGCATCCAAGGATTAGTTAACAAAAGTAGTAAATAAGAATACTCTTCATATTACAATCAATTATTCACATTTACGTTTATTTAATGGACTTAAGACTAGACTAAACCCTGTAATTCCGTTTAAACGGCCGATTCGGAGATGTCTTGGGGGTCTTGATCCTCGCCAGCTGCCGACATGCCCACGCCCATGGCGCTAAAAAGATTGGACACGGGTCCAGCGCCGCCCACCTGCGATTGGTAGCTGTCCATCATGTTGCGCAGCGTGTTTACATTGATATTGATGGGCTCAAAGTCCTCAATGTCGTCGAAGTCCTCCTCGTCCGCCTGCGGAGGAGCCTTCTTCTTCTTGCCGTGGAAGGACTTGCCCACACTGGTTTGGGCCAGCTCGCGGTCCATCTGTTCCATGTACGACTGGATCTGTCGGTCCAACGGGAAAACACTGCCTCCGCCGGACAGCGCTTTCATATTCCTCTCCATGTCCTCCTCATCCGCATAGTCGCTCATCTCTGAGGTGGAGTCCCAGTTGTCCTCGGGTATGACAAAATCCAGGAAATTCCGCACATGGGTGGTGTCAGGCTCCTCAGACTGGATGAGCGAGTTGCGCTGGCAGGCCCTGCGCATGGAGGGATTCTTTTTGACCTTTCCCCCCAAACCAGAGGAGGTCCTGGCCTGTGGCGGCGGCTCATCATCGTCGGAGTCCAGCTCCGGCTCCTCAAGTCCGCTATGCTCGATGCCCTCGTAGTTGGACTGCCGATCGAGGAATTCCGAAAGCTGCTTGGTGAATTCCTCGGCATTCATCTGGCCATTCGGCTTGTAGAGCTTCTTGGGTCCATAGCGATCCTGCAGCATTGAGTCCAGATCCTCGGCGCTAATGTTCAACCACTCATCCGAGTCGCTGGGCTGCAGGTTGTTCTGCTCATCGCGCAATTCCTGTAAAGCCACCTCTGGTGGGTGGAGCAATAGGTTGAGGATCTCGGCACCTGCTTGTGAGGCGGTGCGAAAACGCTCCTGGTTGCCACGGAAATAGTCCTTGGCCTTCTCGAGCAGCTCCTGGTACTCGGCACTGCCCTCGATGTTCTTGCGGAAGTATCCTTTGCCCTCTAGACTGCGCAGATACGCACGCCAGGCGGGCATCTCCTCCAGCTTCTGACCCTCGACCCGCTTGGCCTGTGTTGCCAAAATCTCCAATCCGCTAGCCAATTTTACGCCTAGCAGTTGTTCCTTGTACCGCTCCGGCTCGGCTACGGGATCCGTGAGGTTCCAACCGAGTCTCTTTTCGGGGAGATACTGTTGGTGCGACAACATGGCGTACAGACAGCGAGTAAACCGCACGTTGGTGCGCAGGCGCTTGGCCTCCGGTGGGAAATAGCGCATGGTGCGCAATGCCTTCACGTCCAGTGAGTCCCGGTCACACAAAGCCCTCACCGCCGAGGAGAGCAGGCGTGGCCGGTGCTTCAGGAGCTGGGCTGCACTCTGTGGGAGTTCCAGAACCTGGCGATGGATGGAAAAGTGCGGCTGGGCGATCTGGTACTCCTTGAGCCGCGTATCAATGCAGGACTGTATTTCCCGTGAGCAGCGATACAGGGTGGGATTCAATCGGATACGTTGCACAGCAGTGGCCATTGTCAGGGGCTTCTCCTGGCTGCTGGCGGCGGAATTCTGGAGCAGATGCAGGTTGCCACCTACGAGGTAAGCCCTCTGCTCACAGGTCTCCGGAGAAGCCCAGTCGGGCAGGGCATCCGCCGCCTCGATGAGCAGGAATTCCCCATCCGAATCGCTAACCCGGGCAATGCAATCACTGCGAAACCGCGTGATCTCCGTGAGCAGATAGACGATGAACCACTCGTCGCTGATGTTGTCGCCGTAGTGGGTTACGCCGTGGAAGTGGGGCGGGAGGTCACCTGGGCGGGGCATGGAATGCATGGTTTAGTATGCAGAAATATGGCTATTTATAGAATCCCTAGTGCATACCCAGTTCCTCCTCCTCCTCCAGGTTGATTTCCTCGTTCAGCAGGCGCTCCTCGGCACTGCCCATCCGGATCTGCAGGTGGAACTCGTCCTTGTGCCACAGATAGCTCCGCTCCATGGATTTTTCCTTGACGATGGCCGCGATTTCGGTGCGGACCTGGAGCATCAGTTTGCGTAGAATCGTCTCATCTTTCATGTTTTCCGGTATCTTGGGGAATATGTAGTACTCCACGAAGTCGTCCTCGCGGACAAACTCCAGATTGCTCCCTGGTATCTTGCTCATCCTTTGTCCTTTATTTTTTGCGTGGGAAGGGATTGCTCCTTTTGCTCAGAGTTACCAGATGGTGAAATTGTATTCCCATCGTGTGCTCTTAAACATTTCTGATTATACACTAAAAAATCCACTTTTCCCGGTAAATTTAAACGTGGTAGAAACGATGGTGCACAACTTTGATAAGCCTTTAGTGGGGACACAGTCCACAATCCACTTCCTTTAACTATACTATAATCTTCTTTTTGAATTTGAATCCCATTTTACTCATTTATTAGCTCCAACTATCTATTTTTAATTTAAGTATTCAAACAAAAATAATAGCAAAAGTTTTAACAGAAAGTCTAATACTTGTTATAATCATTTATTAAGTGTAATGCATACACAGCAATGGTTTCAAATTCGATTCATTTTTATTTTCAAAAACCATATTGCTTAATATTATATAAAGTTAAAATTCTACTTAAAAATCTCATTTACATTACAAACCATAACATTTTTAAAATTTCGTTTGGTTTAGTTTTTCAATGAAGTTGTTACTTTATTAAAAGAAAGTAAAGGTAAATATTTATCCACAGACACTTAAAAGTGCTCTAAATATTTCGACCAAGCCAAATCCCGATGTGTTTACTGATTAAACACCCACTCCACTATTTTTGTAAATATGGTTTACTTACTCATCATTGCGGCATCCCAGTCTAGTTGTTGTAATTAGAATCGTCGTAGCGATTGCCACTTTGCCCAACTCCCATTGACTTTCGAAAGTTGATAGGCAAACAAACACAACAAAGATATAAAACGCTATCTAAAGTCTGCTATTTGGGGCTTTTAATGCTGTTACCAGAGGAACGTGCAATCAGACAATTGAAGATTCTCGTGGGAGTTGGACCTAAACTAACTTGGAAAAGACAAAGAACCAAAGCGAATACGTCATCATGTGTTTAGAGAAACTACTAGTGAGCCTGGTATGTATTATTGATTTTGGAATAGGATAGGCTTATCAGTTCTCTCATTGAAATATGGTTTTGGAATGTTCAATTTTTAGATCCAAATCATCAAATTTAAAAACAACGATTCGCACAAAATATGAAATTTAATTTAATTAAGGAAAAGTAATTATAAGCATTCTTAAACTCCCATTCATATAGAAAATTGATTAAAAGATTGCTTTTTCCTCTATAATAAATAATAATAAAAATAAATCTTTTAAAAAAGTCTGCAGAAATTTAAAAAAATCTATAAAATTAGTATAGAAAATACCCAATAAGTTATCAATTTTATTGAAATCTTTCCATTTGATTATTTAAATATATTTATTTGTGACAGTTTTTTAATGAATATTTCTCATATTTAGCTGCTCTTTAATGTGGTGGGTCTACTATTAGGAGCCACTGTGACCACTCGACGCATCCAGCCGCGGGAGACGAACTCCTGCGAGGGTCGCCAGAGTCCAGGACCCATTTGCGAATCCTGCGAGCTGCTGGCCACCTGTGTGCGCCACTCGAATGGATGGGTGAACATCCCCGTGGAGTCCTGCGACGTGGCCAATGGATATTACTGCAATGCAAGGCTGGGGAGCTGCACCAACGAGACGGGACCGTGTCATCCCTTCGGGATCGAGGGCAATTTCCAGTGCACCTCGCAGGGCATCTTTCCGGATCCCTACGATTGCCAGAAGTACCACATGTGCTACTTTGTGGGCGCCACTCTGGTTGCCGCTGCCGTGGATTGTGGCAACGACAAGGCCTTCGATGCGAGGACTGGCCAGTGCACTTTGACCCTGAGCGACTCCGTGTGCCTGCAGCGACAGTACTACTGCCCAAATGCCGGACACGTGGCCGCCTGGCCCACGAATCCCAACATATTCTACGTCTGCAAGTCGACGGTTAACCAGAACCTGAACGACACCATCGTCATCTATCCCTCGCTGCACAGGTGCAACGATGGGGAGTCCTTCGTGGACTATGTCTGCCGCAGTGGCTCGAATGTCCTGCCGCCCAACACCGATGATCCCTCGGTCATCATCGAGGATCCCAATGACTCGGACTTCTCCGTGATGCCCACCACCTGTCAGCACGTGGGTTTGATAGCCGACGGCAACGATTGCCGGAAGTACTACTACTGTTCAGCCCTGAATGGCAGCCTGCGGCACATGGATTGTCCTGAGGGAACCCACTACCGCCCGGAGTTATCCTCCTGCGTCCTGGGAACTTGCTAAAGGGGACGCTGTATTGTATTTTATTTGTTCTTCTAACCAGAACCCTTATCCCTAAATAAACATTCGAGTAAACGACACATTAATCACGTTTTTATTTATTCTATATCAAAAATAATATAATTTATAAAAAATACAAGCTTGAATTAACAAAAATAAAAATCAATTGACTTGTTTTTAAAATAAATGCAATAAATATAGAATGAAAAGGGAAGAAACCACAAATTTCCTCTTTCTTTTCATGTTGAATTGTCTAATCAGATATTTGATAAGGTAAATATGTATCAGTTCTGTTCGATGCATTTAATTTGTTCGCAGTCATTTTTCATCAAAAGGGTTATTAACTTTAAGAATATATATTTTTAATCAACTCATTCAGATGAAACACTTACTGCCTGATAATCTGTTTCTATATAAGAAAGTGCCGAGGGGGTTCATTTAAGCAGTATTCAACATGGAATCATCCTTACTTCTCAGTGTTCTCCTGCTTTTCTTTGCAATTCATTTTAGCAGAGGATTGGACTGTCCAGTTGGCTACCACTTTGATGAGAATATTAAAACCTGCGTTTCTGAGGTCACCACTGACTGTATCAACCACAAAATCAAAAAGTGTCCAATAACTACAGCTGTGAATGAGTACTGCCTTTGTAAGGACAAGTACCTTCAAATATGGAAATGTCCCGAAGGAACCTACTTCGATGCCAATCAGTTGGCTTGCAGGATTGGAACGGTGGAGTGCCAGGAGGAGTATGAGCCATTCAAATGTCCAGATGCCACTTCAAATCGTGTGTTTTGCCTGTGCATAGTTGGCAGATTTTATACAAATGAGTGTTTAAATGGATATACTTTTAATGAAGACCAAAAACAATGCATAAAAACATAAAGAAAAGATTGTATAGCTTTGGGTCATCTGCATTTCCCGAAGCTGAGATGTATCTAAAATGTATTTATTATTTAAATTTGTACGAACGTATCGAGAAAATGTAAGAAATAAAAACAATGCAGAAATGGTCTTAATTGCCTTTGTTCTTTCTTTCTAATTGTTTCACCAAGGTCATACAGTTTCATTAGAATGACTTTATTCTTGGCCTTCAGTGCAGTTTATCTTTTAATTATTGAGAAACATTCTTTCCCTGATTATCTGGACCTATATAAGAAAGTGCTGAACAGGTCCATTTCAAACTTGATTAACATGGAGTCACCTATACTGTTTACTTTGCTGATGGTTTTCCTATACTTTCATTTGGGAAAAGGTTTGCACACATTTGAGAAGAACAGTTACCAGTATCGATTGGATGAAAATAATAAATCATGTCCAGATGGTTACTACTTTAATGAAACAATCAAAACCTGCGTTTCTACAAACATCACCAACTGTACCAACCTTGAAGTCGCCAAATGCCCAATAACTACAGCTGTGGATGAGTACTGTATGTGCAAGAATATGTATATTCAGATCTGGAACTGTCCAGAAGGAACGTACTTCGATGCCAACAGGTTGATATGTAGGATTGGAACAGTGGAGTGTCAGGAGGAGTACGAGCCATTTGCATGTCCCAATGAAACTTCAACCGATGTCTTTTGCCTTTGCATCGATGGTGAATTCCATTCCAATAACTGCCCTAATGGATATACCTTTAATACCGAGCAAAAGCTTTGTCTGAAATCTGGTTCTGAATTACCCGACTCGGAGTCCTCATCTGAAAAGTGTCAGAGATATGGTCTATTCGGGGATCCCACCGACTGCACTGGATATTATCATTGCCGCGAAAAGGGCAGTGAAATTCAGTATTCCAGATGTTCTGGAGGAACTATCTTTAGTCTTACCTCTTTTGGATGCGTTACGGGATCCTGTTAATCTTTGTGCTGTTCTTCAAGTTTATATAAAGCAGATATTAAAATAAAATATATGACTATCTCATTCTATTCACTATTCACTTTATCCTAATTTAAATTTACAATATATAGGTCCTCCAAAAATTCATTTTTGTTAATGTGAAAATAATTTATCTTCATATTTTCATTATAATTTTATCAACAATTAGTCAATTTCTTGATAATAAGAGCTTATCAATTTAATTAGGTCGAAGACATTTTGTGTGGCTGATTAGGAGTTCCTATAAAAGAGAGACTCTTAGTTAAACCGATATACAGTCTTCGAGATGAGGTCTTCACTCCCGATTTATATACTCCTGCTTGGCCTGGCGTTAGGAACCACTAAAGCTGATGATAATCCTTGCCAGGATGTGGGCCTGGCCGGCTTCGTTTGCCTGAACTGCACCACCTTGGGCTACTGCATTCGCGATGGCACTGGAAAATGGGAAACGAAATCGATGTTGGACTGCCAGTCGGAGCACAATTTCTTCTGCAGCGACGAGGGAACCTTCGGATGTACTTGGCAATCGCAGTGCAAGGTGCCGAAAAGAGGTCCTTTCCACTGCCAGCAGGAGGGTTCGTTCCCGGATCCCTACGACTGCAGGAGGTATCACAAGTGCAGCGATCAGAGTGTGGACAGTCCCCACATCTGCTCCAATGGAGCTGGTTACTCCACTCTCACGGACTCCTGCGTCCTTCCCCGGGAAAGTGAGCAGTGCACGGAGGAGCAGTTCAGCTGCAGTCGATCCGGACAAGTCGGTGGTTGGACGGCGGACAATCGGTACTTCTATGTCTGCATCGATGACACCGAGAGTTCCCTGTATCCAGTGATGATGAAATGCCGAGAGGGCTACGTTTTCAACGGCTACAGTTGTGTTCCTGAAAGTGCTTTAAAGAATCTGGATGGGAGCTTACAGGAAGAAGAGTCCAGCAAATGCGTGGATAAGACTAGATACGAATGTCCTTTCCGAACTTCCGAGATTCAGTACTGCAAATGCGTCGATGGGGAACAGCAGGTGATAACCTGCCCCTCTGGCTTCCATTTCGATACCAGGATCATGACCTGTGTTTCCGAAAGGATCCATCAGTGCAAGGACTTCGAGGTCCTTAACTGCCCCAATGTCATCGCCAAGAATGAGTACTGCATATGCATCGAACAACAATTGCAGATCTATGATTGTCCAAAGGGACACTACTTTAATGCTGAGAATTTGTTGTGTCAAGAAGAATAATGTGAATAATTGCAATAGTCTCTTTTTGTACTGCGATGATGGAATATTTTAGAAGATAGACTATGTGTGCCTACTAAATATAATTATGCAACTATGAATAAACAGCAATAAAAATATTTAATGATGGTCTTTGAGTATCTTACTTACTTCAGATGTTAAACTATTAACTATTTTTTTAAGCGACTTTGAAATATAATTAAATATATCATTATTATTGGAACTTTTTTTGCTGACAATACAAGATAAGTTCATTCTTTTTTAAGATAGAGCTATGTAGTAATGAGATGTGTAGAATTTTGATTACCCAGAAAATGTGTATCATTTAAAGCAATCACCAAATTTTACTGAGACCCATTAACGAAAACAACTCAATTCGAATCTTAAACCTAACGAAGAGGAGCGAGTCCTAATCGTCGCACTCCCTCACCACGGGATGCAGGACGATCGAGGCTCCATTGCAGCCCGTTCTGTCCGAGATGAAGTCGTGGAAGTTGCTCTCCAGCGCCCACATGAACCGCTTGTGTCCTGGCAGGACCTGGGTGGACAGGCGGCAGTCGCCACCCCGCTGCACCTCCTGCAGATTGGCGGCCTTGAAGCAGGTCTCCGAGTCCCACAGGTAAATGTCGTTCTCGCCCTTGTAGCGGAAGAAGAGCGAGGTGCCTCCGTCGGCTCCCAGAAGGACCGCCTGTTTTCCGTAGGGCTTGGGACCTACATCGATGATGGAGCCCGCTCCCTGGCCCACCCGCAGGTACTCGCCCTTAATGGAGTAGAGCCGCGGGGAGCTCAGGTAGCTGAAGAACAGGGTAGAGGTGCCATCGGGCTTGGAGGTGAGGGCCACGTACAGCACATCGCTGGTAGGGGCCGTGGCCTTGGGCAGGACGATGCGGTAGGACTTGTTGGCGGTGATGTCGTACACTAGGATACTGCGGGCTCCGGCATCAGCCACATAACTGGGGTTAATAATAAGAAAAATAATATATAAGATAGGATGTACTTAACTATGTAATTCACTTTAAATTGGTTGCAGAAAGAACTACTAAGAACAACTTATATAGATAAGATATGATGCTTAAAAGTAAATAATTATTCTATCATTGACTTTCATGTATATGTATTTATTTTAAAAGTTCTAACTTGAGGTCATAGAGCTGTTGCATTGAAATAATTAATTGACTTGAAGAAAGTTATTATTCATGAATCTAGCTCTTAGAATTTAAAGATGAGTAAATTATTATTTAATTTTTGAATTTGATTTTGAATCAATTTTCCTAGATAAGTAAGTTCTGGGTCAATCTATGTTTTCGAATAGGTTTAAATATTTTATAAAAATGTATACATTATAATAACAGACTGGCAATGCGTTGCAGAGATTAAATTCCTACAAATGAAGATATAATTTACATGTACAAAAATAAATTTGTTTTCTTATTACCTTTCTTGGCAAGACTTTTTAAACTGTTCCAGGTATAAGAATAAAAACAAGAGCTATAACTCACACGAATGGCTTGTTGTCCTTGGAGTAATCGACGACAATGAACTGGAGGCGACTCTCGGAGGTGACCAGGTCACTCAGGTCGATGCTCTTGACCACCTTGTTGTTGGCCGTGTTTATGGCCACGATCTTGGGACTGCACCTCCTGATGGGCTGCTCCAAAGTGTTGACAATGCCCACGTCCAAGGCCCACAGAAGTCCCTGCGAAAAACAATTAATAATTGCTATCAATTGGCGGCTTATATTCATTGTTTTAAATGTTTTCATTTGCTGGCTGTTAATCGAAATGCTGTTGGCGTTAAAAATTCCACACTCGTAGCAATAAAATGCATATCAGCGAAAAGCACTGAATGGAAAATTGCACAAATAAATACGTTCAGTTGCGTTGCTTGTTTGCTGTTTGTTATTGTTATTATTATTGTTATTGCAATGTCGACTCTTGTGTAAATAAAATAAAGAAATGATTTGCATAAATGCAGCTAAACGAGAATGGAATTTAAATGAGAACGAATCGAGGGCAACAATTATTGAAGGAAATTATTAAGTTGCAGCTATGTTGCGAATGGCAAGTAGGTCATTTGTATTTTCGATATGCAAACATGTTAATATTTTAGAAATATCACTATCATTGACATTTCAAACTGCCAACATATTTTGGTTTCAATATCTGAATTACATATTTGCAATGGCAACGGACACTTGAAATTTAAATTGACAACCATTTAAGATTCAGAGTTGTAAACTGCAATCGAAATACGCAAAAATTCTGGGCCGGGAATTTCCTATGACGAACAAATTATTTCGAAAACTTTTCACTGCATTTACAGGACACTTTACAGCTGTAGTTTTCGTCCTTTTATAATATTCCATTTACATAACCACTTTTTCACCCGTTTATCCGTTTATTCGTTCTCTTCAGTTTTCGGCGCCAATTGCCAGACGTGAATTTTATTTGAAGCTCTTTATTTTTGTCGCCCGTTTATTTGATTAAAAAAGCAATTTTTGGTCAACAGCAAGGATGGGCAGTTAAAGAGACTGAACTACAAAGGGCTTTATGGACAAGAGATACCCTGAAAATTACTCTACTTTTAACAATATCTCAAAAACTCTTTTATCTTAATAAAAATTTACTTTTAAAAATTGTTAATTTGACCTTTAATTTAAATATGAAATGGGAAATACTTCGGAGAGGCTTAAAAAATATTTTTTTTTAATAAATAAAGAAATTCAATCTCTTCACGAAGCCCCAAATACCTCTTTATACCCACGATAAAATATAAAAAAAAAAAATTTAAACGTCATCAAGTAAGTGCCACAAGGGGCGCCCAAAAAAATAGCAATCCGTAATTAAAGGCTGAAATTGCAGTTTCGGTCAGACAACTTGACTATAGCGCCAAATAGAACTGGAACAATACCGGCATTAATTGCACTCACATTCGGATCCACGGCGATGTCCACGACAGACTGAAGGGCCTGGCAGTTGCCCTCCTCCTGGATGGCCCAGCAAGGATACGGGGCGATCTTGGTCAGGCACTCGCCCTTCTTCAGGTTGACCTTGCCGAGGGTGAAGGGCACGCCCTGCTTGTACCTTGGCAAGGCCACAAAGGCCGAGTCCCGCTGCAGTTGAGCCCGGGTCACGATCACATTCCTGGGCACATATCTGCCCGACTGGACGTATATGTTCTTGGTGGACTCGCAGGGCCAATGGAGACTACTGCCACTCAGCTGGAAAGTGAGTTCCCGTAGCGGATTCTTGTCGCACTTGGTTCCCCCAATCGAGTTGGAGGCGTCTGCCGAGCCAGCTTCATCGGTGGACGAACTGTATCCTCCGAGAACTACGGATGCAGAAACTAGAAGGAGCAGCAATGGAAGCTGCAACATTTTCTCGCTGGTTCCTTGGGTTATTAACCACACTGATGTATAGATTCAGCACTCGAGAGCCACGTTCGGCCAGATCACAAAAACTATCTGAGCGCCAGAAAGACTTGCATTTATATATAAAAGTCGTCGATTTGTGCAGCAAGCCAAGCGGAGCGTGTTGCAGCAAGGTCGTTAGATGGTAAACACGGGGGGAAACAAGTGTATGTCTGGAGCGGAATGGTTACCACCCAGCCAGCACGTCTGGATTACGCCGGAAATCGACCAGACCTCTAAGCCCACTTCTTCGTTCGGGTTCTAAACAATGCGGAAACCCGCACGGAAAAGAGTTTCCAATTTAACCCACTCTACGCCCGCTATGTGATGCGTTCTACATACAATCTTAAATTATTTTATGGATTATTTAAATTTAACTAAACAAATTTTACAATTTTAATTTGTGTTTATTTATTATCCAAATCACTTTTCATTTAATTTTCCATTTCTTAGTAAGGAATATTTATTATAGACTGAAAAAGGGAATACCTACATTTCCGGTTATGATTAGATAAGTCATGGTTATAAATTAACTGGTATACATTAACAATAAAAGACACTAACAATATTAACACTATTAAAATATATATATAAAATATTTTTAAGTCAATCATTTATAGGCAAACAATTTTAAAAAATAAATTAAACTTATCTGCTGATTTATTTGTATCTTCCTTATCTGTCAAAATAAAGAACGCTTAGTTGGTCACTTTAACCCCTTGAATAAAATGGGTTAAGGTGTGAAAACAGATTCTGTCACCCATCGATCATTTGTGCAACCGATGGAAACGCCAGTTTTCACCCTTCGCCAGCAAAGGTCAGGGGTCAATGCGAAACAGTTGCCAAAGTGGCCCAAAAGTTCAATATCAATGCTGACGTCTGTGACCTGTATCTGTGACCGAAAGAAAGTTTCCAGTTACTCGGATTCTCGGTTTCTGCTAGCAGCTATTTCGGGGCTGACAAAAACATCTGTCAGCCCGCCTGCAGCTATCAGTTTGGCCGGGGAAAAGGAGAAAGTTGGGAAGGATGGGGGTGTTCCATTCGCTGATAAGATTGCAAGCCAACAGGGAATCAATAAAACCCCCGCCGAGTGAATCACACAAAGAGTTTCGCACGATTCATAAACAATCTGTCTCAAATTGATTTCACTTCTATTTTAAGATAAATGCGAATGCACAATTTTATCTTAGTCATTCGGTTTTATAAGGCACTCCGAATCGAGCGAAATCAAGTCGGGGGTATAGCTCAGGGGTAGAGCATTCGACTGCAGATCGAGAGGTCCCCGGTTCAAATCCGGGTGCCCCCTGGAACCACTTTTTTGTCCACATTTCTTTTTATTGGCTTCTTAGCCCGCTTCTGTGGATTAACTCGGTTTTCTGGTGGATTACATTAAAGGTGGGCCCGCCAGACTTAACGCCAATGACCTCGTAAAGCACCCACGCATCGAATAATAACAAATAAAAAATGCGTTGACATCTTTGAGTGGGCGGAGGATTCGGTGTCCAGCTTCCAGAAGGTCCTTTGTTTGTCCTCCGACTTTTTTTTCAGAGTCGGAGCAGCACGTGCATCGAATTATGGCCAGCACTCTGCTGCCATTGAATCGCAAAAAGTTTAATCTCCTTAAAGCAAAAAAAAAATGACCAGCGGCTGGTCAATATTTTCATAAGCCCGAGTTAACCCTTTTCTATGAGGGAGGTCAGACTTGGCTTCCGCATGGCGGGATGAATCCCGAGAGGACTGTCTATAATGCCAAATTACATGCAGATTGAATTTTTGTGAAATCCATTTTATTAAACTGCCATAAGTTGACTTCCCCCCGATCGTAATCTCCGAATTTATAGCACACAAATGCCCAAAAGCTGATGTGATATATGTGTGGGCGGCATTGTCAGTCAATGGAATCTGCACCGACTGAGCTGTAGATAAATATTTATGTGCTTCAATATAAATAAAACAGAAATATGAAAATGGAAATTTAACGAGGCACAAGTCTTAGAGTATTGTACTCTGCAGAATAAGCGTGTTGGAAACTTCATCAACTTTGTAAAGAATTATTTTCTATCAATTAGATATATGTATACAAACAATTTATTTTAATTATTTCGTTAAAAAAAAAGTTAGTGCAGGAGTATTAATTAATTACTAAATATATATATATATATTTTTTTTAATATTTAAATTATTAATAGTGATATTGAAGAATTATTAAGCCAAAGAAAGACAAGTGTTAAAAGAAAGTTGCTTAGTTAGAAAACAATTTTAATACCCAAATACTATAAAGAAATAGTTTTTCCTTGTTTTCGACAGATGCCAATAAGTAAGGAATTTATAAATAAATTGATTGCATTTTGCGGAAAAAATATGCAATATGCACACCGATGTGCAGCCAGCTGCGAAGAGCAATTTGCCGGCAGGTCAAAAATGAAGCCAACCAGCCAAATGAATTTAATTATTGCAAAACAATTAAACAAAGATGAGCTACTGGATAAAGACACTAATTTATGGGAGTTTCTCGAACCATTTGCGATGTGCAAAAGGTTAAGAACCACAGTGGACAACTTAAAGCAGACGCAAACAAAACTTGGCCGACAAAAGAAAGCCAGCAAAGTGAAAGCAAAGCACATAAATTAGGCGAGCAGCTAAATGTATGGGCAGCTTAACTTGATTAGCTAGCTGATGACTTTTTAATACCCTGAACTACAACTGTAAGTCTCTTTATAAACTGTTTTTGGAATAATATGTTTGGGTTGGTGTCTTAAAACTTTTACTAAAGGCATTTTTGTATGGGGGCTTAGGGTAAAAAGGGCTTGGTAGAATTATTCATTTCTTTGTAACAAATTTAAAGAAAATATTTAAATGTATTTTTAATTGTCAAGTAATTAAATCTCAATTTTGGATAAAAATTGATATGGTATTAAGAAAGTAAAGTAATATCTCTGTAATCCAGCTTATTCAAAGAAGTTGGGAAGAAGTTTAGTTTTTAATTTATGTGAAATTCCCGGTAAAAGAAAATCGCTTTTCTCAGCAAAAAATAAAAAGCAGAAACCTCTGTCGGCCCATTTACCAACGCGAATCAAACGTGACCACGGACAATTGTTTTTGCACATTTTTTTCTGCTGCTGTGGGACAAAATAAAGCCCGGCAAATTATTGGCTTATTTGCGTTTTCAATCGGGTTTTTATTGGCACATATATATAAAAAGGTAAACTTTGCTTTCGGGAGTGTGTGGGAAAGAGTGAGTGCGTTTTAAAGAAGTCGCATATAAACCTCAGCCTTTGCTCATGACGCATACGCCTCGTTAAACGGGCAATAAAAAGAAGTGTCAATGTAATGTGTGGAAAATGGCCTGCGGCGAAATGTGGATATGATTTTCCCGAGGACTGGTTGGTTTTCCCGGGTAATGGGGGTCAGTCAGCGGTCGCCTGTTCGTCTCTTATCTTTCCCCCAAACTTTTTTTTTTGGGTGGAGGTAAGTGTTTACATAAATTATGTCAGATGAGTAGCCCGGAAATGCTTGTCATCAATTTTTTGTGCTCTGTGTCTCGTATAAATCATTCAGCGGGGCGGGGGAACAGCACCCCGGAATGCGGGTTTCGGCTGACAATTTAACATGCCACACACGTTGGCTTTGGTTTGGGGCGATTCCGGGTTGTCTACCCAAATCGAGAGCTTTAACCTATTTAGGGGCAATCACGGCGATGGAAATGGGTAAATAATTTTGCAGGAAAATCCCGAAGGATGCGGAGCCATTCCTCTCACTCTTTCAATCACTTTCCATTGGCCAAGTTCTATGAAGCCCGCAAAATCACAATCTGTGGTTATTTAATCACAGCCAATTATTTAGCTAAAAATATCATTGGCAATCTGCAGACACTTCTAGGGGTTCTGTTCAATTGATTGCACTAATTGCAGTGACGTTCGTATTTCTATACTATTCATTACTAGGAGAAAGGCAGAGACTTGTCCCTTTTCCTTGGCTCTTTAGCTTCCTTGGAAAACATCTGTGGCTTCTGTCCGGGAAATGGAGAAATACTGAACTAAATGATTATATGATATTAAATGATAGGAAAAATGTTAGCTTCCAATAGTAAAAAAAACCTTTTATTGGTATAATAATATTTAGTTGTTTGACCTTTCAAAATACCAAAGATAAGTCTTTAATGATTTTATAATTTTAGTCATAACTTTTAGTCTTAATAAATTATACTATTATAAATATAACCTAAAAAAGTTTAATTTACTATAATATAATGCGAAGTTACAAAACCAATGAAGTTAAGATCGAATTACAGAAGTTCGACATGCAATTAAATTATTTTTTGAGCTAAGCTTTTGTTGTTAAACTTTGGTCAAGGTTCTTTGGGGTGGCAAAAAATGAGTTTGAAAATTGAGAATTGGTGGCGAGGCACGTTGCCAGTTTCTGGTCAGATTCGATGGGTTTCGGTGGGTTATATAAGCACGCCACTTGGCCAATTTGGGGAGCAGAACGCGCACGTCGTCGCCAGACTATTAACAATTGCTTTAACGATGAGACTGTATTTGGCCTTGATCCTGGTGTTTTGCCTAGCGAAATTGGCTCATTCGCAGGGCACCAAGTACGGATTGTGGACACCGGATCGGGCCCAGTCCGATTCCCAGCCCATCCAGTGGACGGGTGGTCAGTTCGAGTTTCCCTGCGCCAGCACCAAGTCGCTTTTCAAGAGTTCGGGAAAGTTTATACCCAAGAATGTGATTGCCACTAGGGCTCAGCTCATCGGAGATACCATATACCTGGCACTGCCGCGTTACAGGAAGGGAGTTCCGGCCACGCTGGTCAAGACCAATGTGAAACCGGGCACCTGCTCCACCACCTTCAAGCCCTATCCCTGCTGGGATCTCCAGGAGGAGGGCAACTGCAAGGCCCTGCAATCCGTAGTGGACCTGGTGGTGGATCAGAATGAGGTGCTCTGGGTGCTGGACACGGGCATAGTGAACACCCTGGAGACCCCGGTGCGAAAGTGTCCGCCCAAAGTGGTGGCCATGTCGGTGAAAACCGGGAAGGTTCTGAAAACAGTCTCCCTGGAAGGCCTAACTTCCAGCAGTTCCCGTCTGCAGTATCTGGTGGTGGACTATGCCCCGGATGGCGGTTGCTTTGTGTACGTCAGTGATGCCGCCAATCGGGCCATTATCGTCTATAACCTGCAAGCGGATCGGGGATTCAGGGTGGTGCTGCCCAAGGCCGTTACTGCCGGATGTCGATCTAGGGATGTCCTCTACATTGCCCTCATCCGCCGCGATTGTGGCTCCACGGAGCTGTACTTCACCTACTTGAGCACCAGCAAGCTCTTCTCCCTGAAATCGGAGTATCTGCGCAGTGGAGTGGCCGACGGACGTATATTGGGTGAGTTTTGATTATTTATTTATGAATAGAGATACTCATCACCACAATTAACCTCAATAGTTACTATGTTTTTAAGAGATATCAGATTATTAAGACGAAACAAATTAAATTTATAAGGTTTTTGAAACATAATATTTAACAATACTTCTGAAACATTACAAAAATTTTAGATAGTTTCTTGCTTATTCTTATTGTTCTATAAACCTAATTAGTTTGCTTAAAAATTATAACTCCTTAGTCTATAATCGACATTTAGAAGAATAAACCTAAAACTAACGTTTAATTATTTAATCATAATTTTTAAAGTTTTCAATACCATCATTTATTTTACAATTTATAATATTCACTTGTAGTATAATAATAATATTTTTTATGTAAAATAAAAAGTAAAATCAAAGTAATCAAAATTTACGAGCAATAAATTGTTTATTAACTTAAATTAATTTTGTTCTCTTTTCAGATCTTGGCAAGAAACCCAGTCGCATGGTCATAATTGGCACGGACAATGGCTCGGCGATTTTCTTCCGAAACGAGGGCGATGCGGAGGTCTACCGATGGGACACCAATTCCACGTTCGCCGAGGCCAACTTTAAGCCAGTTTACCGCAGCCAGACCTGCCAGCTGGTGACCCATGCGGTTCCCGATTACAAGCGGAATACGATGCGAGTGCTGCAGAGCAATTTCCCCGATTACATGCAGAATCGCGTTGGCTGCGGGGCCATCCAGCAATTGGGTCTCATGCAGGGCTGCTGGTAACCGAGTTAGCACCCCCAATTCCCACCCACATCTCCCCATCAAGACCAGAACAGCCCGAAAAAACTGAAAGTGCCATTGCAGTTAGATTGGCAATAACCCAGAATGAGTTGGTGTTTTTTGTGCAGTTCGTATTTGGTATTGGTATTTTGTACATAAACTAACGACTTTGGTCGCTCTTGTTGTTATCTAAGCTAAGCAAATAAACGTTTCACTTTCGTACAGAACCAGAGGAGTATATATTTGGGGCTCACTGTCGATGAAGTATCGGATAAAGTTGGTACACCACGTTTGTCCAGACATAAGCACTGAATATGGTTATGTTTATTTGTATTATTTTGGAATCAGTGCTAACGATCAGCCAGTATTTAAAAGATAAAATGCACCAGAATATTTAAAATACTCTATATAAAAGTATAGATAGATTTAAATAGAACACTTAAATTATTCGTTTTAAGAACAAGTTGTTAAATGCAGATGATTTCTAGGAAGTTCATTTTTATTATCATTTTCTCTTTTTCTTTCATACCTTCATCTGACCCTTTTCTGTGATATTAACTCCTTCTCTGCCCATTTCATACCCTTCCAGAAGGTAATATAATTTCAGTCAAAAGTTTGCAACGCAGTGAAGAGCACATTTCCGACCCTATACAAAATATATTTTATTGATTAGTATCACCAGTCCAGTCTAGTTATATATATTTCATACGATTCAAGACTTGTGCTCTGAATTATTTGATACTAATCTACATTCAAACTGTTTCTTTAAACATTGATCAATTGTTTGAACCATTTTCCATCAAGGGTATATTAACTTCAGCTTGCCGAAGTTTTGCTTCCTTTCTTTTCATATATTGAGAAAAACAGGGACATTAATTAAGCTAATTGGATGTCTTTATGTTAAAGTACTCACTCGCCCTGATTGCAGTGTCGTTTCCATATCTCTTCGCAGTTTTTCCTGGTGAAGTGGAAACAAATTTTGCTACCTGTAAAAGTTGGAGACGTTGTGTGTGGAAATTGCCCGGAGAAGTGTTAATTGGAAGTTGCCTGATAAATTGCACGGCATCCTTTGCAGTGGCTTCCGATTCCGATTTCGTCGGGGAAAAACAGCCGAGAGGCGCCCCGAGAATTGTTTTCGATATAAATTCAATTAATCAGCCGATTCCGCACTTGTCTATGGGCTTCGACGGTGACCTTTGCCCCCGCGGGCTGCGTTAAGGTTTCGTGGATTCGTGTTAATTACGCCCACTCGCAGTCTGGTGTGGATCACGCTGCAACGCATGGAACCCCAATAAATGTGCCAATGCCACACAACTTTGCTCCAAAAATACCGAATACCAAACGGAATAAAAGTCACTCGAACAAACTTCGATCCCTGGCGAATTCGATGGGAGTGGGAGCAGCTGCCACCAAAAAGGCCACGATAAACTTGTCTCCTCTTGATTTACAAATGCCGAAACGTGGGCGATTTGTCCAAAATAGAGCTGGGCAAAGGGTTGTATCATGACTAAAACAAAAGGGGAAAAGCTAAAAAGCTAAAATAAATTGTAAGCTTTCAGGAAGAAAAAACGGAAGCAATGGAAATCCAATACAAAAAACAAGAAAGGAAGTTTGAGGGCTTGGTAAATAAAAACATTCTGCTAATTGGTCTGTTGAGAAAGTAAAAGGACATTTTTCCCAAAATATTCTCCTAAAATTTGTTTATGTTCTAAATGTAAATTCTATTAAGAGAATTTAATAAAATATAAGCCATAGTAAAAATGGAAAGAAAAAAGGCAAAAGGGTTGGGCTTACAAAAACCAAGAACATTTGCCTAAGTGAATCTAAATTGAGGGATTATTTTTGAGTTGAAACTCCCAAAGGTTTCGAAAATAATTGTGGTGATGAAGAGATGACAGCTTAAACTTGCTTTTGAAGAACTTCAAAACTCGTTCATTTTTCAAAGTTCAATGAATGAAATGCCTTTCCCAAGGGGCATCACAAATTATGCCCTTTGATGTGACAAAAAACATAATAAATATATTTGTTGAAAAACCGAGAGCAGATAACCGAAGCCCGCAGACAGACAGTTTTGATGCCTTCTGTGTCAAAAACAAAAACCGAATGTTGCAAGGACGTCAAAGGAACGTCAGGAACGAAAGCATCAGTCCCGACAAGAATGACAAACGATTTTCCGCTGCACAGGTTTTCTCATCTCCTTGCCGACAATGTGATGCACAAAAAAAGCTGTGGTATAATTTAATTATGCCCTGAAAAGCCATATGAAAATTTTAATTTTTCCTGCACTTTCAAAAAGGGCCCAACCAAGTGGAAAGCCCTGAAGTTACGCAACTTTTAAAGGGGGCGTCCTTTAAATTTGTACCCACAATTATTTCGGTACCACAAGTTAAGCTTGTCAAATAAAATTTTCATTGGCTTTGGCGGACATTGCTGTGATGTCTAAAGCCACTTTAAAGCCAAAGCCTCCGCCTGGATAAATCAACTTCAATCCACACGAGATTGACAGAGCCGAGTTCCTTTTCAACGCCGCCCAAAACTAACTGAGTGACTGGGACTGGGTCAAAATGCCACCTCCGCCGCGAACACAAAGGACCTCAGCCCCAAAGGATCCCAAGGAGCAAGGAGCAGGAGGACACTACTGTTTGGCGCCCACTTGAAATGGGTTTGACAGGGAATGGCAGCCTCCATCGAATGCCTTGATTTCCTTTGTATGCCAACGCCTGAATTGGACAAAACATCCGAGGCACCACTTCTCCGGTTAATCGAAATGCGGGAAAATCTAACGAAAATCGAGTTCTAGTGGAAAATTGCAAATGAAAGCGTGAACACGTTGCGCAAATAAATCTGTTAACAAAATATCAACAACTTCCGCCGGCAGCTGTGACATTAAAGGCAGCCTTTAAAGAATTTTGAGCAGATAGTTCGTGTTGCCCAAGGTTAAGTCTTAAAGTGTTCACTGAAAAAAAAATGATTTTTTTTTATAATTTTGCTTACTTTTAGATTTGTATTCTTCTAAGAATTGGAACTAAAGCGGTTCGGGTTTTAACTTTAATTTCCTATACACAAAAGTATTTAAGTTAATAAACAAAATTTGCTGTTCTAGATTTCTCCCGTTGAGTAAATGCTTTACACTCAATAATCTTTTCTAATAAATTTTAAAGACATTCATATGCCAGATTTCTCCAGGTGTATGTGTCACGCACTTCTCCTGGCACTTTCGCATTTCCATGTGGATTGAGGGGATTATCGCCAGGGGGTCTCCAAAAGCTGCCCGCAACGAAGTCCTTGTCTGTGGTTGGGATACCATGGATGCGGAAGCTTTTCGGGTGCCGTGCCTGTCAAGTCAGCATTTCCTGCTTTCCACCTCTCCAAATCCCCCTCGGCTGTCCCATTTTTCCCCGAATTTCCTTCAGGCTCACCACCCATCCTTTTTCCGCTAACATGCCAACGCATCTCCATCTAAATTTCCATTGAGAGACAGTGGACTGGACAGGCGACGGCTGAGTGCTATCGGATATAGTTGGGCCACTCAATGCTCCTCCGGGGCGAGCTTTAATGCAAAGTAGCTAACTGGTTTAGAGCCACGCCCCTGGCATGTGTGCTCCGTGGGCGGGGGAGGGGCGGGGGATTGGGAAATGGCCTAAACACAGGCCGAAAATGGGTGCCAAACGACTTCCGACCAGGCTTATTTTGAATGGGTCACGTGCTGGCATCAAAAATTAACAAGAAAGAAACATTTATGCACATGAAAAAATAGAAAACTCGAAATATTTTTTAATGCAAATTTACATGGTCTTTTAAGGCCTTTGAAAATATATTCTTAATCCCTTATACAAACGAAATACATGTTTTAGCCTAATAAAGAAATAAACTTTGCTTAAAAACCTATTTATAAATATTGCAGAATATGGTTTAATAATTCAAGTTTTTTATAAAATTTAATGGAAGAATGTTTTAAATAAAACACATTTATCTTTATTTAAAAAGTAATTCATTAGTTTTTTTTCTGTATATATTTCCTTTTTGGGCCTCAAGTATAATCAAATTTCTTTTGTGAGCTGCCGGCAAATCGATGCAATTGAAAAATAATTGAACATCTCAAATGCTTATTGAATGTCATTTTGAAATTCATGGCTATGCGGATATGTAAGTACCAAGAAAAGGAGGTGTGGACCTGGTATGTGTGTGATTCTGGGCCAGAGCTCGCATATCTAATGGATCTCCTCCCCATGAAGGCATTCGACATTGTCGACGTTCCGCATTCCGCACGATGGGGAAAAGGAAAATTATTGATTTGGTTTTAACGGCACTTAGGCCCTCATAATTGAGATCCTCGCCTTTGGCCTGCTGCTCTGCTCCTCTTTGGGTTCTGAGCTGAAAACGGCAGAATCCTGTTCGAAATGTGACATAAATAGAAGGATGATTTGGAAAAGGGAAATCTGTGTTTTCTTTTCGGCGGGAAGTTTATGCCGCCCTCGGGGGCGCGTCAATCAGAATTCTTTTCAATTTGAAGCCAAACATGGTAAGAATATATTAAGGAAAGCGCGAAAAATGTGCTGGTAGAATTTAAAATCCCAGCTTATATACTTTACAGCACCACATTTTCATAATTAGTTTGATTCGATTTATTTTGATACATGTACATTTTCTTAAAGACATTTTTATTCTTTTTAAATCTGGTGTTTTATATTCCTTTCTTTACATGACTGTATTTAACAACCAATTCTATTAAAGAAAATCCCACAAAAAAGCAAGAGAAACCATGTCATAAATGGCTGACGTTAATCAACATATGTTGTTAAAAAACGAGAAACTCACAGGGAGTAACATGAAGGAAGTAAATTGAAATGCAAACATAAATTTCGCCAAATAGATCCGCTCATAAATCTAACATGAAGCAGTTGGGAAATGCGCAAAATAGAATAAAAAAGTAAATAAATACCAGTCCCAAATAAGATAAACGAACGTTTTACGAGCACTCGAAGGGGATTTTAAACACATTCGCAACCCGGTCTATTAAAAGGCTGTTCTAGTTGGAAAATTGGAGGCGGAAATGTGGGAGGCGTAGTTTATCATTTCATTTCATGATTTATTACCCATACGCCAAGTTCCCGAAAAAGGGTTAACTGACACATGGACTAGCTGATGTTCCATAAATTTGGCCAGGAAAAAGTTTTTGGCATGAATACATTTTTGGCGGGCTGAAACTCGAATGAAAACCTTTTCATTCATAAGAACAATTCAAATGGGATCCACAGAAAAAAAGTAAAGGCAATGGGGAAAAGACATAAACTTCTGCAAAGGCAGAAAAGTAAAATTGTGTTTTTCCTCTCTCTGTTTTGAGGAAAATTACTTTTCGACTCTCTGTTTTGCACAGAAGCTGCAACTTCAACAAGTCGACCAGCTGTTGCCGCCTGAGGGTGGCAAGTGGATTCTGTTTTTCCACCAGCTGCACCAGTTGCTTCTGGTGGAACGCATTTTCCCCTGGGTTTCCCTGGCTTTTCCGAACAGCTGATCGGCCGCTGTCGCTGCCGGCGTCGACGCCAAAAAGCTGGCAACACTTTCGACAGGCGCGCAGGAAAAGCCGACCGTCGCTTTCCCGAGAGCTCGGAAAATCGCGAGCAGCTGCCGCTCGAGTTTTCCACAGTTTTTCAGTTGGTTTTCCATAGCGGTGCCGCACGCACGTGTCTCGGAAATTTCCCGGTTAACGAAATTCTCGCCAAACGTCGGAAAATATGTGCTTCTTGATGAAAAATCATAATTACTTTCGGTTGAATGCGGTGCAGTGAATATTCCCCAAAATATCGGTTTTAATCGTTTTCAAAATTGTGTAAGTTGACTTTCCGATTTTCATCCGCTGGTCACTGAACTTTTGGTCATTTCATTCGCATTTGGTATCTGGGCATCTGCTATTTCGCCCAACTTATATTTCATTTATGTCCGAAAAAGGTTTATCTGATTAGCATAATGGCCGCCACATCCATGGGGACATTGTGCCTAATGTCCTGCAAATTGTATTCAGCGTAATCTTCTGGGTGTGTACCATTTGATTGATGTAGGTAGCCCAGTAATAAGTGGATACAAAACCAAGAAAACGATGCCCAAAAGATTAAGAAAGGATGCTCAATGGGAATTTAAATTCGTTTTAAATGAGTTTGCTGGACTTTCAGTTAGAAATAAAATATGATTTCTTAAAGAAACTTTACACAAGCAATAATTATAGGTATTTTGGCTTGGCTTAGTGTATACAGAAAAACATTGAGATCCTTAAGATTTAAGATTATTAAAATCTTGTCATTTTGATAAATAAATACTTCATTCTTTTAATTACTTTTAATCACTTTAAAATTTAATTAGTATTTTCAAAACACTATTTTCATAAAACTTTTATTTGAAGTGTACAATTCAGATATTTTTTTAAACGAAAAAATATTTTGTACGTTGTCCCGCTAATGTCGAATTAAAAAAATCAAATTACAAATCGCAGTGTATTCTCCATCTATTAAAAAATATTTTGCAACGAATCTTAGCCTTTTTCTTTGCTTACAAAAACTTTAGCAATTAATTAAATTTATGCAGACTTTGTAATACTCATAAAAGTGACTTTCAACTTTTCTAGAATTATTCTCTCATCTGCATTTTTTGGCTAACTTATAGCCTCTCATTTGGCCATAAATTTATCAAACACTTTTTATGATCAATGCGGCCACAAAAGTGCAATTCAGACTCAAACGGCGACTTGGGAGCACTTTGGCTAGGACCAAGAAAAACCTGAGAAGTTTATGTTCAAGGGACATGAAATACGAATATATGTGTGTCCGCAAGTTGTCAATGAACAAATAAACAATATGGAATGAGACAACAAACATTGTTTGTACAAATGCGGCAAAGTCGTAAAAAGTGTTGTGAGCATAAAATTTAAAATTTCAGGGAGGAAAACGGGAAAAACAAACAACCGTGAAGGGAAGCAAACATAAAAAGTAAACCTCAAACAAATGTATACAAAAATTGTTTTGCATTCTGTGCTAGATTCCTTTTGGGTTTCTTTCAACTTTGCGCGCTGCCTGTTGTTTTTTTTTATGGCCCACAATAAATAAAAGTCAACTAGAGAAGAAAGGCCGGTGGCACAACAATGGACAAAAGGATGGCTTGCGAAAATATTTGCACAGTCCAGAAAAGTAGCAAACAAAAAACCACCGAACGGCGGTCCAGATAGCACAAAGTTTTCTAATTTCCCTCAAGGAAATTGCGGCGCAAGCCTTTCGCAAAACAAACCAGTCATGTCAATAAGAGACACAATGCATAAAACTTTCAATTTATGGACGCCTCAGAGGGTTAACAGCTCGCAGCAATTAGCCGCATGTGCGAAATTTTCGCAGCTGCCGAGGCCATAATGCGACTCAATTTATGCACTTGCCCGCTGGCTTTAATTGCCGTCGAACTGTTGACACATTTAGCCAAAGCAGAAGGCCGTAAATTGCGTATCCAAATAGCAGACATGCCCATCACGGAATGTCAATGTCAAGAGTCGAGTCGGTTGCCATGCACTTCAATCCCAATCCCAATCCAAATCGGAGTCCAAGTCCCAATCCCTATTCCAATTCCAAATTCCGCCGAGTCCATTGTTCGGAGACCTGAACTTTTCGGTTTCGGTTAAGTTGGGCAGCTAATTAATTTTTCTGCCAGCTGCCACAGCCAGATTCCAAGTCGTAGTCCGCCCAGATGAGACAGTAATTGTCCATTGTGGCTTAGTTTTGGCCAGGCCAAAAGACGACTCAAGACGGGCACGTGCCAATGGCTCAAACCGATGGCCTGCGGCTTTTGGCCAAGACAAACTTCGGTTACATAGTCGGCGGGCCCTTGGTTTTGAGTATCATTTAAATTAATTGCCGGAGTTTAGTATACAAAAGAATGCAGAAACATTTAATTCGTCGGGCATTTAATTAATTAGTTCAGAATTCCTTTCTTTCTTAAGCTTTTTTGAGTAGTTTTGGTGACCTTAAGGGTTGTGTGTTGCCTTTAATTATTTACTTATCTGCTATGTGGGAAAATCCATAGGTTTGTATAATTAATTACTTAAAATAGGGCACTTGCATTGGTATTCATAATTAATCGATAAATTAATGACTGTATTAAAGCAGTTTCGTTTAGAAAGTTACGATTTCATAGACCTCAGCAATTATTAAATAATAAAAATAATATTACAAAAAGAAAGTACAATTTGAAATGTCATTTTTTTTGTTTCGTCAACTTTTTTTTATGACCATCACCAAAAAACACCTTTCCAGTTAAAATTAATTTCCATTATATGCAAAAACATTCAATGCGCAGAGCATGCAACTAATTAGTTCCCAGCTTGTTTCTTAAACTTTTCCATGTTATTTATTTTCCTTCAGGTCGTAAGTGGCATTTAACTTTAATGCATTACGTATACGCCACATGGGCCGTGGGCTTATAAGTCCCAGGCACCAGAGCGTAGAACCATAATTCCTTATAATAATAATAATAATTCCTTTTGTTTAACCCAAATAAGCGACGTGAAGGTTTGGAAAGTTGAGCAGTTGAGCCACATGTGTGTGCCTGGCAGAAATTGTCAACTTCTTTGATAAAGGAAGTGAGGACATTTTACAGCCTGTTATAAAGTTTAAGCATCCCAAAAGTTTTTGCCCGCCTGCCCATTAAGTTTATTTGTGAAATATAAATAAATTCAAATGCGAGCGGGTCAAAAGATTTATGCTCATTTCTTTGGGGAGTCTGTCTGCCCAAAGTCCGATAAAAATAAGACGACCGGCAGGCAGGCAGCTCATTAATCTGCTATCTAGGCACGTGATGGCGAACTAAAAGGGAAAATGGGAAAAGGCCCTTAAATGGATCAATAATTCATATTACAAGTACAGAGCCTCGAGAATCGGTTGCTGAACTGTGGGCGGGTACTTATATCAGTGCACTTTGCTTATATGATGCGTAATATTTTCATGCAACGCTAGAAGCAAGGTCAAAACCAGAGGCCCCATCGCATTCGCAAAAGTTTCCACACATGCCATGCATGAGCGGTCCATGACCATATCTCGTATTTATATCACTTCCTTCCCCTTCGTCTTCTTCAGTCGGAAAATAGCATTGCATAAATCTGGGCAAATATTACGCATACGCAGTGGTGTCGTGCGGAAAGCGCATATCAAGCGCATCTTGCCATCTGTCAGTGCAGCACTGCAAATCTCAGCCATAAATGATGATTGCATTTAAATGTTATTTATGCCGATGCATTCTACCAAAAAGTCAGTGTGAATTATGCAGCCCTCGGGGAACTTGTTTAATTAAATTAAATGCATCTGGCAAAGCAAGGATGTCGCATCGCATGAGTGCTTAAAAGGAGGAAATAACGAATGATAGTAAAATCTCATGCAGAGAAGACCCATTAGTGGATAAACTCTTGCAACAGACTTTTATTTTGCTGTTCTACAAATTTTTAACAACTGAGATGGGTGATGCGTTAGTAACGTATCTTTAAGCAATCTTTTTTGACACCCTATAATTTTTATAGAATGCAAATAGTTGCAGTCCTACTTTTTGATATATTTCTTATATTTCTTCCATAATAAAGTTTATAAATGACGGCAGCTAAAAATTTGTTTACAAAATATTGTAACAAATAAAGACATTTATAATCTATCATAAGTGCCACTAAACTGTAGAATGAATAGAAACTATTACGTATATTGCAGGATACTCTAAAGGACACTGAATATTTCCATTTGACTCTTGCTCATTTTGTATTACTGTTCAGTGTCCCCGCAAATTCGTGAATGAATAAATGGGAAATTGGCAGAGAATCATTGCTATCTAAACACAAATGATTGTAAGTGTGGCAGCTTAAAGCCGCCACCAAGACAGATCGAATGCAATTATTCTGATGGCGCCTGGGCCAAGAAAATAACTATTTCTGAGTTGGCCAGGGTCTTTAAGCTCAAGTGCTTTGTTTGGGGGCAAGGGACTTGGACATGCTTCTAGAAATAAACAAAGCCAATGGCTGAGGGAAAAGCAACGGCGAATAGACAAAAGACGCGACAGACAGCGGACCTTAAAAGATTATAAAAGGAGCGCGGTGTGGGGGTGCATGTCTGATGGCCAGACAAACTGTTGCTCATGCCCCATGAAGCATAGCGTTGAGCATAAGTGGAAGTCGTATCGGAGATGGCTTTCATTATTTCTCTTCTTTTTTTTTCTTCTGCATTCTTGGTTTTTTGTTTGCCTGATAGCTGTCAATATAGAATCAGAAACAGTTATCAGGCAGCCACAGCGGAAAAGTTACGATTCAGCGTTATTCCTTTATGTTTATGTCCACTTTTGTGGGCAGCTCTTAAAGAGCACTTTCCCTGAGTTATGAGTTTCTTGTCCTGTCACTCACACACACACACGTTCTATCTTACAAAAGCAGAGCCCTAAGCTCCTGCCACAATACAAATGGGATTTTCAGCCAGGTCTCTAATTTACATATGCTTATCACATATCATTCCCACTGTCCAATTTCTCAGCTCCAGATTCTTTTTGCAACAAAAGAAATGGAAATTGCATCAAGACAGGGCATCAAGAAGCTGCCGGCAGGGACAGATGGTACAGTCAGTCGAAACTTTCCGTAAAAAGTTCGGGGGTTTTTCGTTCGGCAAAAGGACGACGAATGGGTTGCCCAGAATACTTTTGCGGCATAAACAGGAAGCACTAAGAACGAATTACCTGCTGTTGACATTTCGCAAGCAGCCAGGCATGGAACGTGAGGTCTTCGCTTCACAAAAGATCTAAGGTTTTTCCTTTCGACCAATGAGCACTTGC